GCTGATGCTACATGTCACACTTTAGGCTTCTGTAACTATAGTATTTTTCTGCAGTTTTTATTTATTTGTTTGCTTGTTAAGGAGTTCAGTCTTCCTCGTAGTTTAGCTACAGACTGACATTTAAATAGTCAATATTTTTCAAATCAAAAAGTTAAACATATCTGATTCAGAACAATAAAAAAAAAACACATCTAATCTCACTTTTTTGACTGATTTGCGATACTGTGGGGGAATCAACATTTTATAATAATTTTCCCTTTTTTATTGAGAAAACATATTTAAATGATTGTGGTGTTATTTTTGCAAGGATTTGTACCAAACAAAGATGTTTTCTTAAATCTAATAATATGATGAGTAGGCCACAACGTCTCTGCAGCGCAACAAAATTTAATTTAAAATGGCATTTTGACACACATATCACCTTTTGGAAATATTGCACGTCCTGCTGTTTGAAAATTAGTTAGTCATATTGCGATTTCGATAAGATTTTCATTAATTGTTCAGCCCTAATCTGATTCCAGCTTCTGAAATGTGAGGATTTACTGGTAGACGGTCAGATATAAATTACAAATTTGAAGACCTCACCTTGGGCTCTGAGAAATCGCATTGGGAATGTTTGGCTATTGTCAGATTGATTTAATAATCATTTAGTTCCAGCATAAATATATCCAGTAACCAGTAGAACTTGCAGTACATTTACTCAAAAACTGTACTTTACTTGAGTATTTCCATTTTATGCAACTTTATACTTTCACTGCACCAAATCCCAGAGGGAAATATTGTACTTTTAACTTCACTACATTTGTCTCACAGCTTTAGTTGTGAGTTACTTTGAAGAATAGAATTTTACATTAAAACACGTATGTAGTGATAGTCTACTCAAGTGGCCGACCAATAGACTAATTTGTCTGCCATTCAATAGGATGATATCTGGCATTTTGAGAAAATTAGCATCGGCCGATACCTGCACTCACGAGGCCGATATATCATCCTAAATGACAGCAGATCTAATCTAAAAGCATCACTGGCTAGTGTTAAATATATATAAAGTTATACTGTAGATAATAATGCAGCTGAATGACTTCTGACAAACTTATCCGCTCTCCCTTAAACATCAGTCAAGCTCTGAAATCTACAGCAGAACCCAAAGTATGTTTCTGTTTCATTCATTAATCAAACTTTGATCTGAAACAACACGTTACTGGCTGAGATGTTTATTAGCTTGTACTCTGCAGGAATAATGGGATTATATATGACTTTTCTTTGTTTTGATATCAGCATTATATATAAACCATCGGCTGCTCTCTAAATATCTGCATCAGCCATTCAAAAACCTGTATTGGTCGACCACCACCAGTAACCTTCTGGCGAATGGAAACACCTGCAGATGACCTGCAGATGTTTCCTGATCCTGATCCGTAATCAGCTGTTTGTATTTAGATTTTCAGTGCGTAAGCGCAAGAGGCCGGGCCTCGAGCTCCACCATTCCTGAAAGTTTAATTTGTGTTTCTGAGGTTTAACACGTACACGCTGTCAGTATAGTTTGGATTAAAAATGGATCATCTCTGTGTCACAGCTACCCTCAGTGGGTATTAAATATACAAGTAAAAACACATTTCATCTTGTGGCTGTGAAACAACACATGTAAATGGATGTAAAAGTGTTTTCTCAGTTATAATTAATTAATCGGCTGCTGATACAATCACATAACAGTTTTTCTGAATTGAGTACTTTTAATATTTGGGTACATTTTCCTGATTATACTTCCATAAGTAAAGGATCTGAACACTTCCTTATGCGTAAACTTGTTTAAAGAATTGTAGCAATCAATAATACGAGTTAAAGAGGTGGTATTATGCTCATTTTCAGGTTCAAAATCCTATTTAGGGGTTGTACCAGAACAGGTTTACATATTTTTGTCATACTGCACATTGCACAGCCTGCCCGAGGAAATCAGGTCGGCTGAGTCAGTGAACTCTTTTAAGTCCCTTCTTAAAACATACTTCTATAGGAGAGCCTTTCCCGATCTTATTTGACTTCATTTTATCCCTTTTATTTTATTGTATTTTACTAATTTTATATTAATCTGTATTTTAGTCTTTTCAATGTTTTCATGCTCTTATCTTGTTTTTTTGTATTATTCTTTACACTTGTTAAAGCACTTTGTAACTTGTTTTTGAAAAGTGCTCTACAAATAAGGATTATTATTATTATTATTATTGCTGCAGCTCCTCTTTCCACCCTGTGTTGAAGGCTTCGTTTTAGCTATGGAGTGATACATCTTGTCTCTAAATGATCTTTGTTGGGAGTTGCACATGCTCAGTTCCTAGTTAAGGACTACTAGTCAATCAGAAGCAGAGGGCGGGTCAGCGAGAAGCCGGTAAACAGCTCGGGTTCAGCCGTACATGTTGCCGACCGGCTTGGCAACATGGACTGGAGCGAGAGTTTCAGAGCGGTGAGTTATTAATCTGTATCCATAAAGTTTTAACTGAGCTCTGTCTCTACATCACAGGAACAACTTTATGTCCACTGACTGCCTGGAGGGTAGCTAGTGTTTGGAAGGGAGAGGAGAGCTGTGTGCTGCAGCTCACTGCTTTTCCACCGGTGTTTTTGAGGGCGTGTCGGAGTAGTCGCTTGGCGGGCGTTAAATGAGGCGCATTTAGGGAAACGGCTGGACTACAAGCGAGCTGTTTTCAGGCAGTTCAGAGCAGAGTTTTCTGTGGGAGATGGGAAAAAGCCAAAAAGCATAATACCACCTCTTTAAGATTATTCATTTATTATATAACATACAACAGTGTGTAGTATAAAGCGTTATATGTGAATATACACTATGTACTGTAGTTGAAAGGGAGAGATGCTGCTGCCCTACATCTGGAGGAGGAGGAGGAGGAGGAGGAGGAGGAGGCTTAGCTTTCATCTTCACTTAGCTATGGTGTGTGTGTTTTTCAGAGTCTCATTGTTATTTCTGAGCTCTGCTGCCGGAACCAAACAGAACATAATAGATCTAGAGCAGATTAGAATAGACTATAGTGAAATGAAATGAAACCAAACAGGAGACCAAAATAGAACAACACGATGCTGAACTGTAACAAGACAAAACACAAGTGTGACGTGATTTACAGGCGCGACTAACGATTTAATATCACTGGTCTGATGTTGCCTGAAGGCGCTGTGACTTCATGATAATTTTCGCTAAGTCGACTGACTTTCAACATACAATTGGACAAAAATTAGTCTTTTAATAGATTTGTTGATCCCCAGACAGGAAATGCAGGCATTGCAGCAACACAAGGATAAAAATAAGTAAAGATAAATGGAGAAAATAATTGAAAAATATAATTAAAGGTTTGTTAAACTAAAATAAGAATAGAAGTATAGAAACTTTTACAAGAGCAATTAAAGACAAAGTTCTGAGGTAGAAGTGACAGTGGTGTGGTCTAGTATAGTATAATTAAACAGCAATCAGAATAATGTATGGTATGATTAAGTAATAATAGTGTCTGTCTGTATTAATATATATAATAATAATAATAATAATAATACAATTACACAATTACAGTATAAAGTGAAATATAGTCATATAGTATAACAGTAAATATAGTAAAGTACAGCAATATAAAAGAATATAAAATATAATATAGGAAATCAATCAATTGCAAAACCTCACATGTCAAGCAGAAACCAGATGTTTCGTATTTCAATTATCAGAAAAGCTTATGATTTATTTTCTGAATTGATCCATAATAATTTCAGAACTATAGTTAGCGTTGTGGTGGTGATTCTAATTTTTCAGAAACATCAAACATCCAATCAAATCTCTGCATCTAAATTGAAATGATGTCACGGTTCATTGCTTAGCTCCGCCTCTGCTGTCTCATCTGCATGATGATGTCACCAGGGGGTCTCCCAGTGGACTGCTGTGATTGGCCCACACTTAGATAGACCACTGTGTTCTCCACAGGGATTGGTCACTGTACTGATGAGGTCACCTCTCTCTGGCAGTAGTTTCTTTATTCATAAGGACAAGCTGACTTGACAGATCTCTCAGCAGCAGCTTTAGACTTTAAACCAGACGGTTAACGGGGCAGTAAAAGTCATTTCAGAGCTTCGTTAACAAATAGCATCATCTGAAGCATGCTGCTAACATGCTAATACTGGCTAATGAGACCAGAAAACTTAAGTAAGGATATATGTAGCTCATCGGTAGTTTTTTAGGTAGTTTATTAGCTCTGAGATGTATTTTTGTGGTGGAAGGTCTGTGACGTCTGATGATGACGGTGAGTACAGATGCATTATGGGAGCGTGTCACTTTTACATTATGTGTAAAGGTTTCTGTCTGTTGCGGTTTGTCAGTGAACTCAGACAACTTACTAGGTTTCTGGCCTTTAAACCAGTTGAAATAACTGGTAGAGCTTCAGAACCAGGTAGAGGAACTGGTCAATCTTCAGAGTCATTGAGAGGAACTGGTGAAGCTTCTGAACTAGTTAGAGAAACTCGTTGCACTTCGGGGTTGTTTCAGAAGTAGTGGATCTGGTCAAGCTTTTTAACCCGTTGAAGGAACTGGTAAATGTCTGGAACCAATTAAAGAAAGTGGTGGAGCTTCAGAACCAGGTAGAGGAACTGGTGAAGTTTCTGAACCTGTTAGAGAAAATGGTCGAACCTTCGAACCAGTTAGAGAAATTGGTAGCTTCAGAAGTAGTTAGAGGACCTGGTCAAGCTTTGTAACCCTTTGAAGGAACTCGTAAATGTCTGGAACCAGAGGTTGGGGAACTTCACAACCAGTTAAAGGAGCTGGTTAAGGTTTGGAGACATTGAGTAGCACTCGTTGAACAACCTAAACCTTAAAAGGAAGTCATAGAGCTTTGGAACTTAGTTACAGAAACTGGTAAAGGGCTGGGACCAGTTACAGGAAATGGTTGAGCTTCAGTACTAGTTAAAGGAACTGATAGAAGTTTTGAGCAAGTCAGAGTAATATTTTTGTGTGTTTCTTTGTGTTTCAGATGAGGGGCCATACACCAAACACTCTGCCGGGGCGAGACCTCCAGATGGAGCGCTGGCCATCAGGAGGCAGAGTATACCAGGTAACACAAAACACACATTTATATATTATCTATTATTTAGTTGTTGGTGATCTCTTCTATCCATTTCTTTCTTTTCTGATTTCTCTTGGTTGTGTGTGATTCCACCAGCACAGCGATGGAGATAACAGCTCTGAAATTAGAACACATACAAACATTTGCAAGTTTTTGATACGTGTGACCTGAAGGAAGATGCTTGCAGTCGCACTTTATCTCCTCCCACCTGGAGCTGGTGGCCTACTTGCAAATCAGAATACTGAAATCAGAATTTACCGAAATGTCTGTGACTGCAACTAAATATTATATTTGTGACCTGAGACAGTTGTCATAACAATCTCAAGGACAGTAGAGAGCTGTTACAGTGATGGACAACCTTACAGTTTATTGTTTCTCCAGCGATTAATAAAACAATGGGTACATCCTGGATTTTTGGAGCCAGTTAAAATAACTGGTTGAGATGGAGAACCAATTAGAAGAACTTTTGGTGCTTCAGAGAAAGTTAGGGGAACTGGAAACCTGCAACACCAGTTGATGAAGGATCTGTTGGAGCTTCAAACTGGTTAAATTAACTAGTGGATGTTTTGAACTAGTTAAAGGAAGTAGTGGAGCTTCAAATCCAAGTACAGGATCAAGGTAGAGCTTCAGAACTAGTAAGAGGTGCTGGTAGTGTTTCAAATCAAGTTGATGGAGCTTTAAAGCCAACTCAAGAAAATTGGTACATCTGATCCTATTAAAAACCATTAGAGCAACTGGTACAGCTTCTGAACAAGTTAGGGGGACTGGTAGAGGTTCTGAACCAGTTACAGGACTGTTAGAATTGTAGAACCAATTAGATGGAGGAGAGGAAATGGAAGAGGTTTGGATTCAGTTAAAGGAACTGGTAAAGCACCCGAACCAGTTACAGACACTAGAAGTGCATCTGAACTAGTTACAGTAACTAATCAAGCTTCCGAAGCAGTTAAAAGAACTGGCGGATGTCCAGAGCCAATTAAAGTATGTGGTATAGATTTGCAACCACTTGGAGGAACTGGTAAAGCTTTTAAACTAGTTGGAGGAACTGGTAGAGCTTCAGGACTAGTTGGTGGAACTGGTAGAGCTTCAAGAGCTTCAGGACTTGTTGGTGGAACTGGTAGAGCTTCAAGAGCTTCAGAACTAGTTGGTGGAACTGGTAGAGCTTCAGGACTAGTTGGTGGAACTGGTAGAGTTTCAGAACTAGTTGGTGGAACTGGTAGAGCTTCAAGAGCTTCAGAACTAGTTGGTGGAACTGGTAGAGCTTCAAGAGCTTCAGAACTAGTTGGAGGAACTGCTAGAGCTTCAGAACTAGTTGGTGGAACTGATAGAGTTTCAGAACTAGTTGGAGGAACTGCTAGAGCTTCAGGACTAGTTGGTGGAACTGGTAGAGCTTCAAGAGCTTCAGGACTTGTTGGTGGAACTGGTAGAGCTTCAAGAGCTTCAGAACTAGTTGGTGGAACTGGTAGAGTTTCAGAACTAGTTGGTGGAACTGGTAGAGCTTCAAGAGCTTCAGAACTAGTTGGTGGAACTGGTAGAGCTTCAAGAGCTTCAGAACTAGTTGGTGGAACTGGTAGAGCTTCAAGAGCTTCAGAACTAGTTGGAGGAACTGCTAGAGCTTCAGAACTAGTTGGTGGAACTGGTAGAGTTTCAGAACTAGTTGGAGGAACTGGTAGAGCTTCAGAACTAGTTGGAGGAACTGGTAGAGCTTCAGGACTAGTTGGAGGAACTGGTAGAGCTTCAGAACTAGTTGGAGGAACTGGTAGAGCTTCAGGACTAGTTGGAGGAACTGGTAGGGCTTCTAAACTAGTTGGTGGAACTGGTAGGGCTTCAGGACTAGCTGGAGGAACTGGTAGAGCTTCAGGACTAGTTGGAGGAACTGGTAGAGCTTCAGGACTAGTTGGAGGAACTGGTAGAGCTTCAGGACTAGTTGGTGGAACTGGTAGAGCTTCAGGACTAGTTGGTGGAACTGGTAGAGCTTCAAGAGCTTCAGAACTAATTGGTGGAACAGGACTAGTTGGTGGAACTGGTAGAGCTTCAGGACTAGTTGGTGGAACTGGTAGAGCTTCAAGAGCTTCAGAACTAATTGGTGGAACAGGACTAGTTGGTGGAACTGGTAGGGCTTCAGGACTAGTTGGTGGAACTGGTAGTGCTTCAAGAGCTTCAGAACTAATTGGTGGAACTGGTTAAGCTTCACGACTAGCCATTGATGTTTCAGAACCAGCAAAACCGCCACTGAGATCCTCGTAGTGGATTTAATGTCACTAACAGACGGGTGCACACACATTTCTTATTTAGTCTCGGATTTATAGTAAAATCTGAAATAGTGCAGCTTTAACAAAACTGTTTTCCTCTGAAAAAAGCTTTTTTGTAATTCAGCATCTTTCAGTGTGAAAGCAGATTTTGAAGTAACACTTTCAAAAGTTTCTCCTTCGCAGCTGCAGGAAACTGGTTCACATTTAGATGAATAGAAGATTTTGGGGGTTTTCTTTTTCAGACTGTGAGTCAGAGCTGATGTTTTAGAAAAGCTGCTGCTCTTCAGAAAGCCTTCTGTGCAGGAAGAAGATGAGGGAGGAGAAGAAGACAGCAATGGTCATGAAGATTAGACGTCTGAATGAAAGAGGACGAAACCCTGCCTGATTAATATTAAATACAACATTTAAATGAAATCCTGCTTTCTGGTTTATCACCTGAGGGCAGCTCACACCAGATTGTACGAAGTCTGCTGTGAAAAATCTCCCTCTCTCTTCCCTTTTCTCCCGCTGGTGAATATTTTAGCCCTTTGATGAAATATAGATGGACCAAAGAATAGAAGATGACTTCACTTCTCTCTCCTTTTTTTTTTTTTGGAGATGACTAAATTATTATTTTATTTCTCCATGCTGAGAGACAGTTAGTGTAGGGATGGAAAAGAAAGAGAGATGGAATAACTAAGACTGGATGAAATGAAAGAGTTCAGTTATGCAGTAAAATCACATTATGTATCCTTTGGTGTGATGTAGACGAGTTTCGGGGCTGCACGGTGGTGGAGCTGATGAAGAAGGAGGGGACGACGCTCGGACTGACGGTTTCTGGCGGCATTGACAAAGATGGGAAGCCCCGGGTTTCAAACCTACGACAGGGAGGCATCGCTGCCAGGTAACGGATCTCTGTCTGAGTCTGTTTTGTCTGGCGGGCTAGTCTATTATTTTCTAATCTTTTAATCTTTTAGTGTTTTTATCACATTCTAACCTGCTCTACATCCCATCTGTTCTGTGTCTTCTCCGATTCTTTTTGAATCTCGCTTCTGGTTCCTTCACCACAGATCTCGTCATCCTCTTCCTTCTCCTCCTCTTCCCCTTCATGGCTAAAATGAAAGGAGTCTCCAGAGCGGCGTCTCTGGGGACTCGTGTCTAAGAAAAATATATACTAAATCATTTGTAGACATCAGTCGTTTCCCTTCAGTAGAAAAGGTGAACGTCAGCTCACCTGTGTTTTGTACCTGAGGTGTTGCTACTGTTAGCGTTAGCTGTATCTGGGGCGCCATTGTAGCTGGGAGAGCGCGACACGTTGAACACAGTGCATTCCTTCAGATTCACGCTGTGTTGAAGTAAACGCTTCGTCATGTCGGAGCTACTTCCTCGCACCAAACCTCCTTACTGCAGCTGATGCATTTTGCTGTGTCATTCTCTTTTTTGGTGAAGCTAAGCCAAACTTTGGAGCGTTAGCTGCGATCCGCCATGGTCCAGGACTGGAAACAGAAGCACTCTCTTCTTCATGCTTTGTTGACCTGGCAGATAAGAGACATGTTTATGGACTGTAAAATGCTCACTGCAGTTCAATCAGGAGCTGAAATATGCAGATAGTTAGAAACCGAGAAGCAGAATCCAAACGCACGGGTCTTAACATGGTTCAAATTTTGTTTTACATTTTCATGTTAAATGTGTTTAAATGTGCTTTAAAGTTGTGAACATCTTTCTTTCACCTATAATGTGCATAACTAGCCATTTAAATCACACATATCTGCTACTCATATATGTTGAATTTCATTATTACAGGCCCATCCATACTGGATTGCACTGACCCATACCAGTGTTGATGGTTTAGTTTAAAAAAAATTGAATAACAATATATCAGCCAGTACTTTTTTTCTACATAAACACATAACATAAACAAACATTTTTAAAAAGGACCCTTTAAATTAGTTTATTTAAGTATTGTAACACAGTTTTGTACTGAACATGTATTTTACGTGTCTCTCTGGTGCACAAACTGTGTAATGGAGAGACTTCATAAACCTTTTCAGACACATCTTGTTCTGTCTGTACTGTATATTATAGTTCCTCCATGCAAAAGAAAACAATATATACAGTTATTTTTATGCATATATACACAAACACATATTCACCAAGAACATTCTGCAGTGACTCTATATGACTCTGACGTCAGCTTTGATGCTCAAGTCAAGAACGTGAAGCAGTCCTGTGTTCTCCACTTAAATCCAATATATTTTTTGTCCTCCACCTGGATCCATACTTTTATCTGCATGCCTGCAGTTAGGACCTTAAGGAATACAAGATGTGCATCACCCCTATCTTAGCCTCCTTTCACTGGCTAATCTTAGAATTGATTTAAAGTTTTACTGATTTTACTCCTGGGTCTGGTCCCAAACTTGTGGACCCCTGTTACCTAATGTGTCGGATCGCAGCCTAATATCCTCTTGGCTGTTTCTTAATCCAGGCATGCTGCTAGAGGAGACTTCAAGCCTGCTGTTAGCCACTGTCTTTTCATCGTGTTGATTTTATTTGACATTGGGTATTTAATCTTAGGCTTTACTATTGAAAAAGATAACTTCATTGACTTGACATTGTAGCTGATGTTTTAAACTGTTTGTGCAGGAGCGACCAGCTGAACGTGGGCGACTACATCCGTGCTGTTAACGGCATCAACCTCGCCAAGTTCAGACACGATGAGATCATCAGCCTGCTGAAGAACGTCGGGGAGAGAGTCGTCCTGGAGGTCGAGTACGAGCTACCACCCGTCTGTGAGTTATGCCACCAGTAGTAATAAGAGATATTATTAGAAATATAAGTACAACTGCAGCGTATGGAGACTTTTTTGTGTTCTTGGGTGTTTTTTTTGCAATGAAATTATGGAAATAAGTAAAAACTGCAAAAGTAGATGGGAATCTTATTGCTTCTTTGAAAAAGCTTTCTAAAAAAATTTTTTATTCCAAAACTATGTTCTTAAATCACACACACACAGTTCAGTGTCTTGCAAACACTCTGATAAACGTTAACGTTATTTGTCCGCATATTTAAACCAGCTTACCTTGATTCTGTCAGCTCTTGCAGTGGTCCGGGATGTAACAGCCTGTGTCACAGTGATTTGTTTCGTCTGAAATCTCTGCTTATGTTTTGGAAAAGTGTTTGACAATAAACGATTTCCTTTTATGTTGGACCACAACAGTTTCCTCCGCTTTGGTAAAGAACATCTGGATACTGTTTTTCACGGTCCTTTGCTTTTATTTTTGCACGCAAATGAGATGTTGGTATCACACGTCTGCTGTGTCTTCTAAACAAGGAAGTGAGTTTGATGATGTGTGACAAAGTTTTGCAGGAAAATATATTTTAATGTTGTGTTAATAGTTGACATTGTGAAACTCTGGAGGGACTGTGTAGGGAGAGTGTATTCAGTGTGTTGTTAAAGCTGCAGAAGGTCAGAGGTCATGTGGATGTGTTGGTGTTCTGGTGTGTTGCAGCGGTACAGGGGTCAGGGGTCATGTTCAAGAACGTTGAAGTCACGCTTCACAAAGAAGGAAACAGCTTCGGCTTCGTCATCAGAGGTGAGAGGGGCTCAGCGCCTGTGTGTCTGTGCGTCTGTGTGTGCTTTCAAAATCAATCCATGACTGTGTGTTTGCAGGTGGGGCCCACGAAGACAGGAACAAGTCTCGCCCCATCGTCATTACAACCATCAGGCCTGGCGGTCCGGCTGACAGGTGCGTGACCTCTGACCTCCCTGTGTGTCTGAAGGGTTTTTGTCCCTCGGGGGCCTCTGTAGAAATTATCCTCTCTCTCTCTCTCTCTCTCTGCAGAGAAGGAACTGTCAAGCCGGGTGATCGGTTGTTAAGCATCGATGGGATTCGTCTCCACGGCAGCACGCTATCAGAGGCCATGAGCATCCTGAAGCAGTGCGGGCAGGAAGCCACGCTGCTGCTCGAGTATGACGTCTCCGTGATGGGTCAGTTTGAACTCTCTGGTACTGACTTTTGTGGTTAATTCTCGAACTAATATCAGTTTTTAAGAAGTATGAGCAACTAGACCTAAAATGATTAATCAATTAACATAAAATGAATCAGCATCTATTTTGATAATGGAATAATTGTGTAAAAATACCCAGAATTTGACAATTTCAGATTTTCCATTGTAATGATTTTCTACTTGTTTGTTTTGTATTAAAGTAAATAGAAAATCTTTGGACTGTTGGTTGAACTAAAAACCTATTTGAAGACGTTCCCTTGGGCCATAAAATGTATTATTCTCTATTTTCTGATGTTCTATACACCTATTAAATTGTTAATTTAATCCATAATAATATTGTACAATAAATTGTGTCAAAGTAAATCACAAGTCCAAGACACGTCTTTTTTACAAACATTTCAACTTTAAAAGTAACTGAAAACAAACTTTAAAAGATGGAAAAGAAAATGTGAACATTTAGACAAATCTTGAGGCAATTCTGATTTTAAAAAAACAAAATAAAAACTGCAGCAGTCGAGCACTGTTGCTACTGAGATGAAGAACGTTTTGGGACATTAATTAGGTCAACGCACTAAATCAGTTTCTGGAAGTGGTCAGAATAAAGTGATATATAGAGTTGAATATCATCTGCATAAGAATGATCGGAAATATGATTAATGTGAATAATATGACTTGAATGAATTTCATGATAAAACAGGACCAAGAACTGAACCGTGTGGACCCCCATATGAAGTAAAATGATAACAAAGCAAAAACTTTGTGTGTCTGTGTTTCCCGTCTGTCAGATTCCGTTGCCACGGCGTCGGGGCCGCTGCTGGTGGAGGTTGCAAAGGCGACGGGCTCCAGTCTGGGCGTGGCCTTGTCCACCTCCATGTTCTGCAACAAGCAGGTCATCATCATCGACAAGGTCAAACCAGCCAGCATAGCAGACAGGTACCTGACGTCTGACCCCGATATCGCAACCCAGCTACAAATCTGTAAACCTCTTTGTGTGGAATTGATCAAGTGTGATGTATTTTGTGTGTGTGTGTGTGTGTGTGTGTGTGTGTGTGTAGGTGTGGTGCTCTTCATGCAGGCGATCACATTCTGTCCGTCGATGGGAAGTCGATGGAGTTTTGTTCTCTGGCTGAAGCCACTCAGCTGCTCTCTGTATCCTGTCAGACCGTCCGCATGGAGATCCTGCCACAACACCAGGCCCGACCGGCCCTGAACGCACCACAGCACGGTATAAACCCACACAGACCAGATGCCTGTACTACTTCAGGAGTAACTTTGTGACGTTGGGTGTTTCTTCTTAAATAAACCCGTACTACAAAAGATATAAATGTTACACCCGAGGTCTGCTGTCATTGATGCTGCGTCTCTAAACTGCTCTGAGCAGCTTATCTTCATGGTTATGATTTATACATGAATAGGGCTATTGGACTACACACCACATCTGTACTCAATGATGAGAGCTATTAATAGATGTCACTTGATGAAATATTTTTAGATTCCACCCTGACTTGTTGCCATGTGCGCTTTCAACTGGGTTGCAGCTGAAATTAAGTTATTCTTACCACAATAGCATTTGATTTGATTTGATCGTCTTTATTGTCCCCAAATGGGCAAGTTGGTTTGCAAACAGTATTCAATACACATCATAAAACAAATAAATAAATATAAGTCGTAAATACATATAACATACAGTAGATGTCATCTTAATAAAGTCACCATGAGATATAAAGCACTGTGTGTCCATCAGTCCTCTAGCAGTAGTACAGGCCTCAGGCCAGTCTGCCCTGAACGCACCACAGCACAGTATAAACACACACAAACACCAGGTGAGACCGGCCCTGAACACACCACATCAAGGTATAAAAACACACACAACAGACTCAACTGGCCCTGAACGCACCACAGCACAGTATAAATACACCCTGTGTGTTAATCCCCATAAGTCGATGGGTCCTCAACGCATGACCACAGAGAATACAATTCATCACAAACAAATAAATAGATAAAAAAAACATAATAAACTGCACATATAAGAAATTACATAAATAAGATGTAATCTTTTGTAAAGCTGTGAGACAGGCAGCTACCTGACCTTTGACCTCTCCTTCTGTCTTAACCTAAAACCCTCCCGTGTGTATGTGTGTGTTTGCGTGTGTGTGTGCGCGTGCAGTCAAGGTGCAGCGTAGTCCCCGCCCCCTTCCCTGGGAGACCGGAGGCTCTGCCCCCATCCTTCCCCCCTACCACTACAACACGTACCACCCCGACCAATCAGCTGCCAGATCGCACAACCGCCATACAAACAACCCTCGTACGTCCTCCTCTCTCTCTCTCCCTCTCTCTCCCTATAGTTTGATGTGTTGTTTTGAGAGAGAGACCCCCGCTCATCATCTCTCTCTCTCTCTGCAGCCCTCAGCCACTCGTTCTCTCCTGGCTCCATGTCAGCCTATAGTCTCTCGTCCCTGAACATGAGCACCCTGCCAAGGAACATGTATCCCACAAGTCCACGGGGCACCCTGATGAGGAGGAAGGGCAAGAAGAAGGACTTCAAGAGTTCCTGTGAGTCTGACCTCTGACCTCTGGCTGTGGCTCTCAGATCACTGATACTATTCTACTCTGTCCACACTTTGATCTGTCATCACTTCAACATAGATTGAATGCTAAACATTGTACCTGGTTAGCATCAGCATGTTAGCATTGTAATTGTAAGATGTTAGCATTTAACTTAAAGCGCTACCGTCATACCTGTCAACCCTCCCGTTTTTCCCCAGCGTTCTCCCGTATTTTACCGTTCTATCCCGCTATTATCCTGTTTAAATATTTTCCCGTAAATCTCCTTTCAACCTCACTAAAAAACATTTTTTTATAGAAAACCTGCTGTGCGTATTTGAAATATTTGCTACGCTTCTCTCCGGTAAAGCAGGTGGCAACATGTAGAACATTAGCTGTAACAGTGATGACCCGCCAATAAAACAAGAAGAAGAACAGCAGCAGCGCGAGGGGTCAAGGATGGATGATGCAGGGCTCTACAGTATTTCACTCGCATATGCCTCTAAGAAATTAATACGTGCCATGCGGAAAAATTATTTACGAGTAAGGACTGTAACTTACAGTACACTCATTTTATCAGTGAATCTAATAACAAACAATGCAAGATACTTATTTAAGATCACCTTAGAAGTGCTGAAAGTAGTCTGCTACAGTATACTGTAAAAGACAGATTACACGGTTTTCACATTAGGCAGTACACTTACATTATCCAACATTTACAGAATCTATAATTCATTGAAAAAATTTTAAAAATCGCAATTAGATTTTTTCCCCTAATCGTTCAGCCCTAACATAAAGTACTGCTGCAAAAATGTTCTCGCGCTTTTATTTTGTCGGCACAATCACTTAAGTGGAAGTGATTATGTGACTAACTTTTGCTGTCATGACTGAGATCTGTTTCAGCACCAGCCGCTATAATTATTATTTTTTTTTGCCACTATCAAAGTAACTTTGTGCCGTGGGCCGCCAATTGTCGACCACTTCTATGTGTCATCAGGTTGTGATCTATGAAGACATTCTCTAAAGTCACTGATGCAAGAAAACAAACTTTTACTGTATTTTACTTTATTGTAAAAGAGGCAAGGACAAACTTCCTTTTAAGAGGCAGAAACCCCGAGCAGAACCATGGCTCAGGGTGGGCGGCCATCTGCCTCCACCAGTTGGGGGTGAAGGAGAGAGAGAGAGGGAGTGAGAGCGAGAGGGGTAGGGGGTAGCAGCCTACACAATATCCACACAGAGGTACAGACAGTAAAGGTAATGTTGGTACAGACCGAATCAATAATGGTACAGATATTTATAGTAATGTTAGTAATTATAATCATTATAATAACATCGGGCCCCACAGTGACTTTGGTTCAGCATCAGAAAATGACCATTTCCCCCCGGCATCTCTTAGGGAAGAAATCTTTGTTCCACTCAGGTAACACAGGTTACCCCAACACAACCAGGGAGACAAGCCTACTTTCTTACTCTAAAGTAACCTTAATTGACCCTTCGCTAAACCACGCCCCGAATACAAAGCTGGCCAATCATAGGACTCGCTCTAACTGAGGTCAGACATGTTAATGGCTGCGCTCCATTGACTCTAATGCAAAAGGAGTCGTTTTCTAGCTTTTTTTGGCTGTATTTTTCTAAGATATGGTCAAACGCTCTTCCTGGGCCACATGTAATAGTTACTGTCGCTACTCAGAGAGGTTGAAAGGAGAAGTACTATTTATTCTCTTTCCAAAACCTAAAATAAATGCAGAAAAATGTCAGTTGTGGGTTGTTCCTAATGTTAATGTTAGTTAGCTAACGCTAGCTAACTTCCTACTGAATGTAACGTCATAAAGCCCTGCTGTTCTGCTTTTTAATGATTGTAATAATGAACAGAGGCCTAGCAGCTGTACAGGAACAGTGTTGATCCTTAATATCGTTGTCTTTTGTCTCAGTCGTCAGGGGATGCGGTGGTTCACTTGTACTGTGTGATCGGTGGCTTTAGCTTCTATCTTTCATTTTTTTCACATCAGTCTGAGTCAGTCTGACAGCCTGAATACAACCTTCAAATCTATAATGCAACTACGAAACTGTCTGCTTCTTTCTCAGATCGCTTTTTCCAACTAATTTCACAATATTTCTCCGGGGACTGCAGTAATAGACTGTTGCTAAGCAACAGTAGGTAAGGGGGCGGGGCTTAGCGAAGGGTCAATTACAGCCGGGTACAATCGTTAGTTAATTACTGTATGTTCAGTGTCTCTACTGGGGCAGGTCACTCCTGCACATGGCAGCCTGTTTTTGCTGGTTTGTTAAAGACACCTTTAATTTCTAAAACACTTAACACGCAGTCAGGAAGGAGGAAATCTCTTTCTAGGACCCAAAGTCTCACTTATTCTATCTATCTAATCAAAATGCTATACTGAGCTCTCACTGTGCACAAAAAATCAGGCGATAGGATACTTCCCCTTTACATCAGGGTACACTAATCTGGCCCACACAGAGAGCTGTAAGCTGAGGTCTTCCCAAAAAAGAATACTCTGAGCTCTAGGGTCCGCAGCTTAAATAAAGAAAAAGGCAGGAGGAGTTTGACCCATTTTCAAACGTTCATTGGCTCACAGGGTTTTACCATCAGGGTGATTGGCCCCTGCATTATCACCCCATGTCACCTTTTTTAAGGCAACTCCCTCCTCAGCCTGTTGGCTGCAACACCCCTGCTCACTGTAACAAGTTATATAAATTAAACACAAGTAAAATAAAACAATATATCTTGCTAATCGTACAAACAATAAATGTGTGATCCAAATACTAATTCATAAAGGCCAAAAAGAGAAGGCCACAAACGAGGTCCAAGATAAATGCAAACCTTTTTCTTATACACGCAAGAGATCAGAAAGGGCATCAAACTGTTTCGTCTGTGACAGTTTCTCTGGCCTTAGTAATGAAAAACCGTCCTCTTGTCATTCAGTGAAAAAGGATTGTCTTTTTATGTAAGGGTAAATAGCACTACTTCTAATCATTTTAATGTGCAGGGGGTGACATGCCCCCCCCACATTTCAAAATCTATGTTTTTCCCCTCCCCACTTTTCTCCGACGATTTCGGATTTGGCTCATAGCCGAGGCAGTTTACTACGAGTGAGTAGTCAATCAGTCACACACTCCACATCTGACATCAATAAAGCGTTGAAATGTGAACAAAAACCATGTAGATAAATGGGACATAACAGAGGTGATGCTGAAAAAAGTTAAGGGAGAAAAAAAAGTTAGCTCGAGGCTGGTGCAGCAAAGTGCCTGAATATTACAGACCTTTCTTTAGTGCTGCTGTTACTTATTGCCCACCTGAAGACAGTAGTGAGGATGTCTGCCTACTTTAAATCATTTAGCCACATTTTCCATTCATACCTTCATATCTCAACCAGTCTGTCATCTGCATTAGGCTTCATTAACCTAAATGAGCCGTCATCCAGGCTGTGTGCGCGCAGTTACGCAGAAGAGCACTGGTGTCGGGCGGTTGTCACAGTCACAGAGCTGGGCAGATGCAAACATTTAGAAAATAAGGCAAATACCTTTTCAGTTAAAGGCTTTATTGCTCTGCTAATGGCACTGCTGGCCGTGTTGGAAAGCAGCCTGCATCTCTCTTTCACAAGCCGGCAACAAGGTGGCTCCGCTTTAATCTGGAGAAGCTGCAGAGCTGCAGTCTCTATTCATTCGACTTACACTGTACGTTTTCAGCTAAACTGACGCTTATTGTTGACCCTTTTCTCTCTCTGTCTCTCTCACCTGTCATTCACCGGTCTCTATTTCAAGTAGCCGGTGATTTAAAAACGATAAAATATTCTTTGTGTGTCCATGAGTGGCGGGGCTCGGTCTCTTCAGCAAATGTTCCTCATCTCCCACTAGACTACAGCATAGACTGTATAAACACTACACCTACACATGCGCACTGATGTCCCAGGGTTAGGGTTACAATTTTGGATTTATTTACGCACATTTATTGAAAGTTTTTTTTCTTTTTACCTGTTTACTTACAGCATTAAAAGTTGAAATGTGTATTGTAACAGGCTGTATATTAACCTATTGGGAGAAAACTGGTAGTTCTGTGTAAAATAAGACGTTGAGCAAAATAATCCTGTGAGATTGACAGTCAAATCAGGCTCCGCCCATCGATGCATAAGAATCTTCGACTAACTTTCACTTTCCGTTAACGGTGCATTAAAAGCGTATTTAGTCTCTGCAGAGCAAATGTAGACTACGGACTACTACGTCAGGTGATCACCGGATTGATTCTGATATATAAACAATATCCTGTTGTTGAAATTAGCCTGTTTCTTTCACATTGTGTCACACGTGTTTTATAGCGATAGCCGACGGTGAGTCCACGAACAGAATGTCGCCGGTTAAACTAATCTTGGCTTTCACTCAACAGCTCACAGCTGTTATTTATTCAGCAATCATTTCTGAGATGCACAGAGAGAGACAGATAAAACAGTCCTGTTGGGTTTTACGCACGACGCACAGCTTCCTCTGTATGTAGATTTACCCTCAACAACGAGCTGCTGCCGTCTTACTGCCTTTAAATAAATCAAATTTATGGCTGTAGATTAATAACTTAAACTGCACTGTAACTTCTACTGTCCTGTTTTATCCTGTTTTTATTTTCCATTTTAAAATGTTATTTCAATGTCTTTTTTAAATTTCCCTATATTGCGTTTACGTTTTATGTAAGAGCACTTTGAATATATCTTGTTGTTGAAATGTGCTATACAAAAAAACTTGCCTTGCCTTAGTTGCAGCACTACTTAAAAGAAGACACTGACTCAGACAGCCTGATTTCCTCCGGTAGGTTGTTCCAGAGCCTCGGGGCCCTGATGGAAAAAGCTCTGTTACCTTTAGTTTTCAGCCTGAAGTCAGGAGTTTCAGCCAGACAGGAGACCCCTGCCCGAAGACACAAATTAAATCCAACGTGTGGCCTGAACATTTAAACGCGTCTCGTTTATTACCTGTTATTGTGTTTCTGTGTCTCTGTCTGTTAGTGTCTCTTGCGTCCAGCACCGTGGGTCTCGCCGGTCAGGTGGTTCACACAGAAACCACAGAGGTGGCGTTGGTAGGCGACGGCATCATGGGGTTCGGCCTGCAGCTGCAGGGCGGAGTCTTTGCCACAGAAACGCTTTCCTCGCCGCCGCTCATCGCTTACATTGACCCCGACAGCCCGGCTGAAAGGTAATGATATTAAAACTACGTACAAATAATACACTTGACATCTTTCATACACATAAAATGCAGCTTAAAGAGCTTTTCAAAGTAAAAAAGAACCAGTTTAAATATTAAATATATTTAGAAAGAGGGAACAAAATAATGAGCAATTAAAAATATGAAAACAGAATAATATAAATGAATAAATAATAAATGTATAGTGACACAGTAGATGTGGACAGTATGTAGAGTGACAGATATCAGTGTTTTACATTAAAGTAAATATTATGGTTTAATTATTTTATTATAGTTTAGTATTTCTTAATAATTTAATAGTATTTTTGTAGTAATTTTGTATTTGTATTTATTTTACTATTATGATTATTATATGACGTCTTATTTTTGTTTAATTTTCTCAGAACTTCATATAAATCTTCTGAATACGTTTTAATTTAATTTTACTATGTTTGTTTCTTATAATAAACCTTTCTCATCTGTCTATCCTGTAAGGTTCAAGGTTCAGCTTTATTGTCATTATTCCATTTTGCAGAAAATGTGTAAACATATATTCTAATGCTTTAATAATAAATTAGAATAAAATAAAAAAGCAGCAAAAAGTAAGAAATAAAAGGAAAACTCAATTATATTTATAAGGAAGATATCAGTGTAAGAAACTCTAACCTGTGTGTGTGTGTGTGTGTGTGTGTGTGTGTGTGTGTGTGTGTGTGTGTGTGTGTGTGTGTGTGTGTGTGTGTGTGTGTGTGTGTAGGTGTGGTATCCTGCAGATCGGCGACAGGATTTTGTCTATAAACGGAGTTCCTACTGAAGACTCGACTCTGGAAGAAACCAATCAGCTTCTAAGAGACTCGTCCATCACTGCTCAGCTCACACTGGAGATTGAGTTCGACGTGGCCGGTACACAAACACACACACAAACACACACACACACACACACACACACACACACAGTTGTGTTTCCCTCCATTCGGTCCCTCCTGGGACCCCAAATTTACAAAAATACATCAAATATTTACAAAGGGCAAAAAGCAAACCTTGTATATAAAATGTATTTATGACTTGGTTTTTCAGGTATGCTAGAGCTGGAAAGCCAGATTCACACAAGTATGTTGTGCAATTTTGAATCAACACATCTTGAAGGATTCTTCTTTGCAAAAAAAAGAAAAACATTTGGACAGCAAATGTTTCGCTTGGAGATACCTGTTCAGTTTATTCATTTTAAAACCAAACCCTCATTACTGAGCACTTCTCCACATATTACTCATTGAAGCATCTATAAACTCGTCCTTGAACTTTAGTTTACACATCATAGGATCGACAGTGACAGATCACAGACTGCAGAAATAAAAATTCTGTATGAATGTGGCCAGAAGATCAAGATGAAGTGGCTCAGGAGATAGAGCGGGTTGCCTGTTAATCGAAAGATCGGCAGTTCAATCCCAGGCTGCGTGTTGAAGTGTCCTTGGGCAAGTTACTGAAACCTGAATTGCCCCTGGTGTTTAAGCGCTTGTGTATGAATGTGTGTGAATGGCGCTTTGAGTGGTCGCAAAGACTAGAAAGGCGCTATACAAATACGGAGCATTTACAAGAGAGAAAACCTCACACTGCCACTGAGCTGAACAGACATGTGTAGCAAAAAATAACACAGTGCCGCTCGTTCCACGTCGGCCATCATCGCAGCGTACTGTTTCTCTTCACGTTGAACCCGCCTGAAACATCAGATAAAATTAACACAGTAATATTTCTTCATCGAACACCTAGAGGAATATTTAGATGGTTGACCGGCTGCATTAATCGTTACGTTAGCTATTCATCCTCAGCCCTTGATAATGTTAAGTTAGCTTAGCTTTTTATAAATTCACGGCATGTTCTCGTAGTTTGTTCCAGCTGTTTTGCTGCTGCTTCTTGTCTAATTTTCTGGATTTTTACAACCACAGAAGAAGACAATCTGTACATTTGAACTGCAGTTTGATTCCACACATATACACAGTTAATGTAATAAAACTTTCACGTTATTGCTTTGTTTTTATTCAACAAAAGTTTCACAGGATTTGCTTTCGACGTTCAAAAGTGGTCATCAACAAATATTTTCTACGGTTTTGAGACAAATCAACAGTCTGGTGTTGATGTTGTCTTGTTTTGGCTGACTGTCTGTGTTTAAGTCTGCTTCTCTGGTGTCTCTCTGTAAAGTGTCAGACTCTTTGTCAGTGTAACATCCTCCGGCTGGTATAAATAACCACCTACGTTGTTTTCATTGGTGACTCACAGACACAGTTACTGTGTGAGACATCACGGGATACAGCTGACATAAGCAGCACTCACATTGTACACTACATGACCAAAAGTATGTGGACACCATGTGCTGCCTATGCTTCTCATTTGTTCAGTGACTAAAATACATTTGGTGTTTTGATTTTTGGTGGCAAGGATTGATGGTAGGTGGATGTATATAATTATATACATGAAAATTGAAAACAGAAACAGAAAAGTGTAAATGGCTAATACAGAAAACAACACGTCATTCACTACTGATTGGCTGCAGCAAAACAGACCAAAGTAAAGTGTTCAGTTATATCCGATCAAACAAAACTACGCCACAAAAGTCAATTGTGGAGACACAGATCCTTTATTTAAGTAAAAGTAATAATACCACACTGTAAAAATACAATTCAAAATGTTACCTAAGTAAAGATATGTAAGTGTTATCAGGAAAATGTACTAAAGTATTAAAAGTACTCAAAGCAGAGAAATATCCCGTGACTGTTGTACTATTATATATTATCTCATTAGATGTTTTTTTCTCCATTAAGTCAATTGATTGTTTGGTTTGTAAAGATTCTGCTGTCACAGTTTCCCAAAGCCCAAAGTGACACCTTCACAGTTATTACAATCATTAAAAAGAAAAGCATCAAATCTTCACATTTTAAAGAAGATGGAACCATCAAAATTGTTGCCAATTAATTTCCAGTCAGTCAACTAATTGTTTCAGTTGTACTTGCATAAACTTACTTTATAACAAAACATCAGATTTTATAAAATATTCATATGTTTGTGTGTAAAAAATCTTAATCTGTAAAATAAAAGTAAATTAAGCTGTAAGACAAATGTATTAGCGTAAAAAGTACAATATTTCCCTCTGAAATGTAGTGACAGAGGTCAAGTAAAGTACAAGCACCTCAAATTTGTACTTCGGTATAAGTACAGTGTAAGTAAGCAGACGACAAGAAAATTAATAAAGATATCTCATCATTTAAATGTTTCACTACAAAATAAGTTAGTAACAGTTACACACACAATATTTGTTCATTTAAAAAAGTTTTAAATTTAAGTCAGTAAGGTCGCAGTTTCCAGTAAAACATTAAAGTAACATTTAGTTTTGTGTGAAACTGCTCAATGAACTTCATCTCACCGGATGTGTTTAATCCAACGACTCCTGATCCTTTCATCACATCACTCAAAATGATATTTTAAGCCGACAAACATCACATGTGTAATTCAGAGCACAATCCAAACAAGATAAAAGCACCACCATTAACTACTGTACATATATTTTTTCTGAAATAAGGGTCTGTAGTGGTCCACAGAAAGGAATGGCTCTCTGTGTTGAGACCTTTCGTTTCACTTAAAACGTTCCCTTGTCACGATGTGACACCATCTTCGTCTCTCTTTGTGTCTCACAGAGTCAGTTGTCCCCAGTTCAGGAACGTTTCACGTGAAGCTCCCAAAGAAACCCGGAGTGGAGCTGGGAATCACCATTAGCTGTAAGTACAAACAAAGTGAAAGTAGAAGAGGAAAAAATGGCATTAGAAATTCTACTTCAAAGCATTCAAGTAGATGGTTAGAAAAAATTTCCATTCATAAATATATGCTCACGCATTATAAACATATGAAGCCTTGGACCTCCTCTTGTCGTGAGACACATTTGTGTGTTGCATAAAATTCACCTGCTTTGATGTTATTTTTAACATTTAATCATCATCCCGAGGAGTAAACAAACTAAATCATTCTGTTTGAGCTTTTCTTTGTGTGAAATCATCTCTTAAACCATCTGTCTGCCCGCAGCTCCTTCCAACCGTAAACCAGGGGATCCTCTGATCATCTCTGACATCAAGAAAGGCAGCGTCGCACACAGGTACACACTCTCACACACTCTCACGCACTCTCACACTCTCTCTTACACTCAAACACTCACATTCTCACACACTCTCTCACTCACACACTCTCACACACTCTCACACACTCACACTCTCTTACACTCTCTCACACAATCAAACAGTCTCACACTCTCTCTTACACTCAAACTCTCACACACTCTCAAACACTCACATTCTCACACACTCTCTCACTCACACACTCACACACTCTCACACTCTCTCACTCACACACTCACACACTCTCACACACTCTCACACACTCACACTCTCTTACACTCTCTTACACTCTCTTACACTCTCTCACACAATCAAACACTCTCACACACTCTCAAACACTCACATTCTCACACACTCTCTCACTCACACACTCTCACACACTCTCACAAACTCACACTCTCTTACACTCTCTCACACAATCAAACAGTCTCACACTCTCTCTTACACTCAAACTCTCACACACTCTCAAACACTCACATTCTCACACACTCTCTCACTCACACACTCACACACTCTCACACTCTCTCACTCACACACTCACACACTCTCACACACTCTCACACACTCACACTCTCTTACACTCTCTTACACTCTCTTACACTCTCTCACACAATCAAACACTCTCACACACTCTCACACACTCACACTCTCTTACACTCTCTTACACTCTCTTACACTCTCTCACACAATCAAACACTCTCACACACTCTCAAACACTCACACACTCACACACTCTCACACACTCTCTTACACTCTTTCACTCTCTTACACTCTCTTACACTCTCTCACACAATCAAACACTCTCACACTCTCTCACTCACACACTCACACACTCTCACACACTCTCACACACTCACACTCTCTTACACTCTCTTACACTCTCTTACACTCTCTCACACAATCAAACACTCTCACACACTCTCAAACACTCACACACTCACACACTCTCTTACACTCTTTCGCTCTCTTACACTCTCTTACACTCTCTCACACAATCAAACATTCTCACACTCTCTCTTACACTCAAACTCTCACACTCTCACAGACTCTCAAACACTCACACACTCACACACTCTCACACACTCTCATACACACTCACATTCTCACACACTCTCTTACACTCTCTCACACTCTCTCACACAATCAAACACTCTCACACTCTCTCTTACACTCAAACTCACACACTCTCACACACTCTCATACACACTCACACACCCACACTCTCTTACACTCTTTCACTCTCTCACACACCCACACTCTCTCTTACACTCAAACACTCACACACTCACACACTCTCACACACTCTCAAACACTCACATTCTCACACACTCTCAAACACTCACATTCTCACACACTCTCACACACTCTCACACACTCTCTCACACAATTAAACACTCTCACTCACTCTCACACTCTCTTACACTCTTTCACTCTCTCACACTCTCATACACACTCACATTCTCACACACTCTTTCACTCTCTTACACTCTCTTACACACTCACAATCTCACACACTCTCACACACTCTCACACTCTCTTACACTCTTTCACTCTCTTACACACTCACAATCTCACACACTCTCACACTCTCTTACACTCTTTCACTCTTACACACTCACAATCTCACACACTCACACTCTCTTACACTCTTTCACTCTCTTACACACTCACAATCTCACACACTCACACTCTCACACTCTCTTACACTCTCTTACACTCTTTCACTCTCTTACACTCTCTTACACACTCACAATCTCACACACTCTCACACTCTCTTACACTCTTTCACTCTCTTACACACTCACACTCTCACACTCTCTTACACTCTTTCACTCTCTCACACACCCACACTCTCTTACACTCTTTCACTCTCTCACACACCCACACTCTCTTACACTCTTTCACTCTCTCACACACCCACACTCTCTTACACTCTTTCACTCTCTCACACACTCTCACACTCTCTTACACTCTTTCACTCTCTCACACACCCACACTCTCTTACACTCTTTCACTCTCTCACACACCCACACTCTCTTACACTCTCACACTCTCTTACACTCTTTCACTCTCTTACACTCTCTTACACACTCACAATCTCACACACTCTCACACTCTCTTACACTCTTTCACTCTCTTACACACTCACAATCTCACACACTCTCACACTCTCTTACACTCTTTCACTCTCTCACACACCCACACTCTCTTACACTCTTTCACTCTCTCACACACCCACACTCTCTTACACTCTTTCACTCTCTCACACACTCTCACACTCTCTTACACTCTTTCACTCTCTTACACACTCACAATCTCACACACTCTCACACTCTCTTACACTCTTTCACTCTCTCACACACCCACACTCTCTTACACTCTTTCACTCTCTCACACACCCACACTCTCTTACACTCTTTCACTCTCTCACACACTCTCACACTCTCTTACACTCTTTCACTCTCTCACACACCCACACTCTCTTACACTCTTTCACTCTCTCACACACCCACACTCTCTTACACTCTCACACTCTCTTACACTCTTTCACTCTCTCACACACCCACACTCTCTTACACTCTCACACTCTCTTACACTCTTTCACTCTCTCACACACCCACACTCTCTTACACTCTCACACTCTCTTACACTCTCACACACTCTCACACTCTCTTACACTCTTTCACTCTCTCACACACTCTCACACTCTCTTACACTCTTTCACTCTCTCACACTCTCTTACACTCTTTCACTCTCTCACACTCTCTTACACTCTTTCACTCTCTCACACACTCTCACACTCTCTTACACTCTTTCACTCTCTCACACTCTCTTACACTCTCACACTCTCTTACACTCTCTCACACTCTCACACTCTCTTACACTCTTTCACTCTCTCACACACTCACACTCTCTCACACAATCAAACACTCTCACTCACTCTCACACTCTGTCACACTCTCACAATCTCACACACTCACAATCTCACACACTCACAATCTCACACACTCACAATCTCACACACTCACAATCTCACACTCTCACACTCTCTCTTACACTCAAACTCTCACACTCTTACACACTCTCACACTCACACACTCTCTCACTCACACACTCACACACTCTCACACACTCTCAAACACTCACATTCTCACACACTCTCTCACTCACACACTCACACTCTCTTACACTCTCTTACACTCTCTCACACAATCAAACACTCTCACACACACTCACACTCTCTCTTACACTCAAACTCTCACACTCTCACACACTCTCTCTTACACTCAAACTCTCACACTCTCACACACTCACACACTCTCTCTTACACTCAAACTCTCACACTCTCACACACTCACAATCTCACACACTCTCACACACTCTCTCTTACACTCAAACTCTCACACTCTCACACACTCTCAAACACTCACATTCTCACACACTCTCTCACACTCTCACACAAACTCACACTCTCTTACACTCTCTCACACACTCACACTCTCACAATCTCAAACACTCTCACACACTCACACTCTCTTACACTCTCACACACACTCACACTCTCTTACACTCTTTCACTCTCTTACACACTCTCACAATCTCAAACACTCACACTCTCACACACTCTCTCACACCCTCACACACACTCACACTCTCTTACACTCTCTCACACACTCACACTCTCTTACACTCTCTCACACACTCACACTCTCACAATCTCAAACACTCTCAAACACTCACATTCTCACACACTCTCTCACACTCTCACACAAACTCACACTCTCTTACACTCTCTCACACACTCACACTCTCACAATCTCAAACACTCTCAAACACTCACACTCTCACACACTCTCTCTCTCTCACACTCTCAAACACACTCACACTCTCTCAAACTCTCACACTCTCTCACACACTCACACTCACTCTAACACTCACACGCTCTAAAACACAATCAAATACTCACTACAGTATCACAACACATGCTCTCAAATGCATAAAACTGGTACCTTTTTACAATAGCTGCGTTTGATGGCACATCTCATACAAATAACCTATGTATTAAACAATGGTAGAAATTGTAAACTTAAACGTTGACTAATTTCCAACTGTTTTTTCCTATGTTTTTGTGTATTTGTGGCTTATGTGGGCAACATTTTTTTATTTGGTCCAGTATTGAGCGAGCATGCTGCAATCTGCAGCAGTGAAACAGGGCTGCCACTTAATCCTTGCAGGCAACTGCTCCCCTTTGAAGTACGTCAACTAGAGTGCTTGTTTTTGGCCCAAGTGTCTTATGACATTATGAAAAGGATCCCAACAGAGAGATACCTTTTTTTAAAGAGTAAGATCCTGTTTGTTTAACAGTCACTTTATCGCTCTAGTCATAGCCACCAGTCTCCCTTGACAAAAATAGTAATTTTACCTCTCTGGGAAATCACTGCCTTGATTGGTTAGTTTTTTTAATAACAATCTGAGCCTTTCAATTACAAAAATAAGCATTTTAGTGGATGTACTTTGCAGACACAAAAACAGGTCGAAAGGTAGAAAAATAGAATAAAAAATAGAAGTGACCCTTTAAACAGAGTGTCAGCTGTGTTGAAGCTCGGTCAGCTGTTTGGAGGTGGTTGGTTAATTAGGTTAAACAGCCCAGGCCAGCATGTGTGTGTGTGAGTGAGAGTGTGTGTGTTGTGTTTTGTAGGTCATGTGTTTTGAAGTGTGAAGCAGAAAATGTGAGTTAAAGCACAAACGAGCAGGTTGCATCTGTTTACTTTACAGTAAGGGAACATCGCAGTATATCTGGGAGATCAAACTTTTAAATAACATGTGCGTGTTCATGCTTTGTTTCTCTTTCAGGACGGGAACGTTGGAGCTGGGAGACAAGCTGCTGGCCATCGACAACATCCGGGTGGAGAACTGCTCCATGGAGGAAGCCGTTCAGATTCTTCAGCAGTGTGAGGAGCTCGTCAAACTGAAGATCCGAAAAGATGAAGACAACTCAGGTATAAAGTACACAATGCTTCTGTCTTCTGTGTTATTTTTCAAGACCTATGACGTCCACGAACAAGAATGTAGCCAAACATGGCGTCTGAAGCGGGATGTGTGTGATAGTGACTGTATTGTTCTGTAAAGACTAAAGAAAGAAAGATAAGTGAATGTGACCTTTCCCCTTTTTCACAGTTCCACCTCTTAATAATCATTCCTCTTTGCATAATGTCGGGTTCAGACTAAATCAGCCCGACTCGACAGACGGAGGCCGTCAGGCACTACAGTTGATGGTTTTATCCCGTGGAGTGACTCATAGTGGACAGCAGATGACGCCACGCAACAGAAATTTGTTGAATATTCCGGCCTTTTCTTGCCCGAGTACAACAAATCCCATGACGTGACATTGACCAATAGGAGCACACCTGTAAACAACCTGTAAACATGGCAAAGAGAAGTGGAACTTAAAGCCACTGGATCGCTCCCATCAACGCCACCAGAGTCCGTTTATAAAAAACTTAATTTTACCTCTCAGAACATGGAAGATGCTGGTTCAACGCTGCCTTGGTTGGTTAGTTAGTTTGTGTTATTGTGTGAATTTGTTGTTTTTGTCTCACAATAACACTAACCGATCGTGGCGACAGTAGACCAGAGATGTAAAATTACTATTTTTATCAAGGGAGTCTGGTGGCTTTGGTGCTTGTAATAATAATCCAAACCTGTCAGTCAGAAACAAGCACTTTAGTGGAAGTTCTTTGACAGGGCACAAAATTAACCCAACATCATGGAAACTGCTTCGGACGTTTGTTTGTTTACATACGTGCTCCAGGAAGTCGGCCCTAGGACCTCCTTCCTGATAACATCACACAGTTTGTGAAAGACGGCAAGTTATGATTGGTGGGAGACCAAAGTGTGTCTGTCAAGTCTCAAGGCGCATTCTTTTTTTTACAACTCTGCCCCTGACTGGTTAGTATTCATTGCCTCCGTTGGTACGGTTAGCCAATCAGAGGCACAGTAGGAGGGAGGACGCAACACAAAGATCGTGTTCGTCAAATGAGAGATGTCAAAACATCATAAAGTTATGCCCTTTGTAATCGCCTGATCTGACACAGAGACTCTTAACATGATAGAAACACTGTGTAATCTGAACCCGGCATTGTTTTACTTGCATCAGAGCAGATTAATCTTCTGGGACTCTTCCTTTTGTCTTGTGGGAGCTTCTCTTAAACATCTGAGAAACAACTAAATCCTCAACATGCTAAACTGACCACAAGCTGCGTTCTCTAGTGGTCAGTTTATCTCCTAAAGTCTTTATTAGCTTCAGATTTAGCCATCCTGGTTCTTTTCTCTCTCAGGAAAACCAACAAATGAACATGAAAACATGTAATGTGGAAAGTTGCATCTCATTACATGGAAGAGACACTTGCAAATTATGTAAACCCCTAGAATATATTCAAGGACCACCTCTCAGTGAAGCCTTGGACGTCATCAGGCTCCCCAAGGACCGGTAAAATCTTTTCAAGGACATCTAGAAACTAATCATGGACCCTTAAGACATCTTCATTATCACCCAGAACCTCCTACAGACTTTTTTTAACCCTTTAACATCAGGGTTTGCTTTCATTTTAAAGGTCGGATACAAAATTTCTATCCTCTTCCTGATAATTCAGCCTGACATGTTTGGGAAACTTTTGTAAATCCACAACAGCATCGTGCCGTGTGCTCAGATACTCTGAATTTACCTGGTACTTGTCGTGGAAAAAGTACTACAACACATATACAGCCGGTCCAGAGACCTGCTGGCTTCGGGCATCTGGTCCCGATTAAAGGGATGCATCATCATTTACACAGTCTAGGTTTCTGTGTTTTGGGGAACAGAGATCCTCTCTCAGCCTTGAATGATCATTCCAGGAGAGCAGAGGAACAACAAGAGAGGAAAACACCAAAACAATCTCACAGCTCTGAACTAAACCCTAGTAAATGTGGACAGAGTGTAGAAGAAGGAAAGGTTAAGGATAACACAAACACAATACATATATATCTATAAGACATAATAATAATAATAATAATAAGCTAAGAGGACACAGTTTTCTTCCATAACAGTGCTGAATGAATCTTTATTGAACGTTTCAGATGAACAGGAAGTGTCCGGCAGCATCATCTACACGGTGGAGCTGCAGAGGTACGGAGGCCCGCTGGGAATCACCATCTCAGGCACCGAGGAGCCCTTCGACCCCATCATCATCTCCTCACTGACCAAGGGAGGGCTGGCTGAGAGGTACACACACTATTATCATTACATTATTGTATGTTCTTAAAATGCTTCTATAAACAATCTTAAAAACCTCTGATCTAATAACCACAGATGCTAGTAACAGGTTTATAACAAGTTTAATTATGTAATAACTTTTTAGAAACTGTCAAAAATGAAAGGGACGTTTAGAAGTAGTCGAGTAACCAGGTAACTTTAAGGTATCTCCTGTTAAAGAAAGAGTGATAGACGACCAGCCGACCACTTAGCCTCCCTTCTTTTCTGTTTTTCATCCAAAACTCAGAAGACTCCCCACTGGTTTTATTTTACACGGAAATAAACTTTCTGTAAAATATCAGTAGTGTGGTTTAACATAAGATGTGACAGAGACAGGTGGAGGATGTCGCCCTCTGCTGTTGATGATAAATAATAATGATTTATTTACTTGTATTTTCTATTTTACGCTGTTTAATTTTGTTTTTATAATTTTTGTCAGATTTGTTTAATTTCTTTGCAATTTAAATGTTTTATTTACTTTTATTTTAAATGTTTGTAAATGTAGTTCTATTTTAATGTGTTCTTTAAAATGCTCTGAGCTGCTGTTTTAAATAAGCTTTTATTGTTTTCTTTTCTACAGGCGCATCGAAAAAATGTTTTTGAAAATTCTTCTGTAATTTTATTCAAAAACTGAAACTTACATATATTCTAGATTCAAAACATATTTATATTTTTAGTTTTTTTTTTATCCTAATGATTACAGCTTACATCTCATGGAAATCAAAACACCTACAAAGGTTTCCTGAGCCTTTAATCTCAGTCTGGTTCTGGTGCTCATAGTAAACTTATACCACAATATTCAAATTTTTTGTGATGCACCTAATGTTATCAGGGCCGGAGCTCCGCAGGATGCACTAACCCCGGCTGTATGTAAATTTCTCTGTGGGGTGGTTGTGTTGTTGTGTTCTGTAGGACCGGTGCGATCCACGTAGGCGATCGTATTCTGGCGATCAACAGCAGCAGCCTGAAGGGGAAACCTCTGAGTGAAGCCATCAGTCTGCTGCAACAAGCAGGAGAGACGGTCACACTGAAGATCAAGAAGCAGGGAGAACGTACGTATGCACACTTACACACACACTGAAATACATCAATATAACAAATTATGCATCAGTATAATGCAATGAAATAATAAACTACAGCCTCAACAACACATCTATGAGACAAGTTCAAGAATAATGCAACGGACGGGTCTGATACCTGCTGTGAACAGTACAATTCAAAATAACTGAATTATAATCTTTAAAAAAATTGTGCAATAACGAAATAAACACCATTTGTTGCTTATATCACCGTGTATTTATGTACATCAAGGCTCACCAGCATTAAACCCCCTTAAATCCCATATGTCCCAAAATGTTGTTAACTTGTCATACGATGAATAAATCCTCAAAACAGTGATACCGGGGTGACGCATGGTGAGTCGTTGCAGTTCAGTAATCCCAGATGTCTCAACACAGTCTGTTTAGATGACAGGTTGTCTTGCGGTTATCCATCCTCTATCCTATATTCCACATTTAGGGTTTTATTTCTTTTTTTGAGAGCCCACGAAACGCAGACTGATTCGCCTGTCTGCGCGCTCTATATACCTACCAAAAAACATCACTTCCCCACTTCCTTTTAACATAGATGCCAATGATGACGGAATAAATAATAATACAACAATAATAAAGAGTCCACGTTACAATCTGTGTTTACACAACAGCTCACTGAAATAACCTACAGCACTAAAACATGTGAGGGGAAAATAATGAACATCATGCCATCACAATTTTTATACAAGAATGCCGTCTTAGGTGACTGTTACAAGGTGTTCCTAATAAAGTGGCAACTTCTGTAACAGGTATGTCTTATGTAACTTGTTCCACCACCAATCGTTCCACCATCTTGACTCTAATGAAGTGACGGACTCTTTGGACTGGATTTGATTATTTCTGCTTCAGTTTAGTTTAGTTTCAGGAGAAAAACGTTGTGTTTTGCTGCATGATGAGAACGTTTTATCTCCCTTCAGTGTCGAGTCCGAAGTCTTGTGTGATTGGTCCAGGCCTGGGCCCGGGGGCGGGGCTTGACCAGGAGAACCAGGACGGGGAGGAGGAGACTGTTGTCATGGTCGCGCCTCTGTCAAGCCAGAGAGCGTTCAGCACGCTGCCGTCAGTGGACAGCGCTGTGGAGTCCTGGGACGGATCCAACATGGACAGCAGCTTCACCACCCCAGGTAGGAAACTGACCTCTGACCTCTGAACCATGACCTTTACCTTCAGGTTTAAATGACTGTAGTAATAAAGTATTTCTCTGTTTAGCTCCACCATTTCAGTCGTCTCCGTATAGTTTCCACGAGTGGCGCAACGCCAAGACAACCAACAGCCAGTCGACGTCCTCCAATCGCCAGAGAGCCAATCCGCTGTCAGATCTGGGTCTGAGTGACGACGACTGGGACCGCCCACCGCTTGGGGGGTGAGAGAGAGAAGGGAAACTCACATTTTTATCTGTTTAAATAACTACTAAAGAGATCAGAAATAACAAAAAGGTAACAGGTACAATTATTTCAAACACTTTAAAAAACTGTGCAGGTAGATGATTGATCACAAGGGTGCCGATAAACAAATAGATACCTGATAATATCTCACATTCACAAATAAGAATTTTCAGTGCAAAAGAAACCGTAAAGTAGATTCACGCACTGAGAGCGTATATAAGAAGAACATCAAATAAAGTTAATAATCAGGAAATCAAAGCAATTAAGATAAAATAAGATATACTTTACTGATCCCACGCTGGGGAAATTCACTTGTTACGGCAGCTCCAGATTACACACAACAGATAAGAAAATACACATTAGAGAAAAAATAGAATAGAAAAATACAAAAAAACACCAACAGGTGAATTATCTAGGACATAGTTTCATATCAATACAAAGTAAAATCATTTTAGATTCATAAATAGTGCTCTTTAATGCTCTAATTATACAGTCTGTGAGGGTGTAAGAATTGCAGCGCCTGAGCAGATAACGCAACGTAAAAACAATAAATGTGTTTGATTTCTTGGAAGGTAACGATTCTAATTTCCACACTTCTAAATTTCCCCAAACATTAGCGCGTTAGCATTTCTCACTCAAGTCAGTGGGAGCTGCTAGCGGTGAGCTAACAGCAGTAACAGCAGTGTGTCTCTGTCTGCAGAGCCTGTAATCTGCCCAGCGGTCTAATCTCTGACAGCAGGTACCACACTGGCCTTTGACCTTTGAACACAGTCCCCTGTCGCCCCTCTGACCTCACCTGGTGACCTTTGACCCCTGCCTCACAGACACATACACCTGGATGCGTATGTCGTCACTGCACATGTTCCTCACCTGTCGAATTAAAACACAGCTCTCACCAGCATGACCTGTCCGTCACCAGCCCTCCTCTGTGTGTGTCAGTCGGGATGTTCTTCTCTCTGATTGGCTGACCTTTGACCTTTACGCCAGGTTCACTGTGGGGCATGATGGGACAGAACCGGACCAGGAGGAGAACTTCTGGTCTCAGGCTCTGGAGGATCTGGAGACCTGCGGCCAGAGCGGCATCCTCAGAGAGCTGGAGGTGAGTAGTACCGTTACAGTTACTACTATTAGACGTATAAGCAGTAGTAGCAGTATTAGTAGTAGTAGGGATAGTAGTATTAGTAAGAAGCTGTAGGGCTGGGGATAATTACAAATTCTACCAGAACAAATCCTTTTTCCGTACTTTATTAGAAAATTATAGATTTATATCTTTTTCTACAAAACAAAGAAAGTTTCTTAAGTGTTAAATTTTGTTTAAACACAAGCGCCCGTACAAGAACTCTGCCTGAATAAAAGTAATAACAGTGTAAATCAGAAGCAGAATCACACTTTGACAAACTGTTGATGAAAACTTTGGTACCCGGTGGAAACAATAAACAACATAGTGTTTTGCATTTTGTGACTTTCAGTCGTTTTTTCATTCATAAATTTAATCATTGAACATTTCTTAAAAATACTGTTTAAATTTCTTGTTCTGTTTTGTCTCGTGAGTGTTTCGTTGTTTTTGTAACTGCACGGCAAAAATCATGCAGTCACAAAAAAGCAACTTGAGATATGAGACGCTTATGATGTTTACCGTTAACCTTGTATATATTTGGCATATTTTGTATTTTCTGGGTTTTGGATATGTGTTTATTCATTTTTTACTGGAGTGACATTTTTTGTTTGTTTGTTTATTTAAAGGATCCCCATTAGTCGATGCCATAGCAGTCAGCTAATCATCCAGGGGTCCACAAATTACATAATGTACATAACACATTACATTGAACTGAATTAATAAAACCACCTCAATATACACAATTTAAATCATTCATATACAATTCAAGCTCGTCACCACTGAACATATAAATTAGATGGAATACTGATTAAAATATATTTAAAATAATAAGAATTCAAATGAAGAGTCCTGTCCTGTACTGTTCAGTCTGTCATATATATAAATATGTCTCTTCAAATTCTCTTTGAAGGAAAAGTTATTTTTTATCAGACGGAAATTAAGGGATGAATTATTCCAGTTTGTCACGGTCCTATAAAAACAAAATACAAAGTCAGCAAACAGACGAACAGAGGGATTTTAGGAACACAGACCTTTTCATTTGAACAGATGATTACAGATTGAACACTTAATTGTTTTTGTTCACAGTTGTAGCCCTCATCAATATGCTGGTGCATCTAAAAAACTTTATATATATTTACATTGTGGAAAAGTTCATTCTGAGCATCAGAACCAGAGTGAGAGATTAAAGGCTCAGGAAAACTTTGCAGGTGTTTTGAGTTAATCAGCTTTGCAGGACGACATTTCTATATAATAAATTCTTATTCTTTTTATTCTAAAATTGTAATGCATTTTGAGATACTGAAGTTGTGTTTTCTGTAAGCCGTAATAATCAAGATTAAAACAAATAAAAAGACTTGAAATTCACTTCATGCGTAATTTATATAGAATATATGAAAGTTGAATTAAATTACAGAAGACGCTCCTGTACATATCACAATTTAGCAAATGTATTCAAAATGACCTTAAAAATTCAAATCAAAATTATGTTTAATTCAACAAATTGCGTTCAGTGTGCATCGCATCCGACTGAACTCTTCATACACGTCAAACAGAAAAGTTAATAGCTAATTAATATTGAATTAATTTTGAAAATCTCAACGTAAACTGACAACACGGTGTGATAATATTACGAAATGATTCCTTTGAAAACTACAGTGAATTATTGCCCAGCCCTACAGTAAGTAGTGGTAGTAGTTTAGTGGTACTAGTAGTAACAGCAGAACTACGTGTTAAATGGAGTGAAGCTGAAAAGAGAAATGACTCCTTCTCTTCCAGGCGTCTGGGAAGGAAACACACCTCCTCAGTCTGGTATCCTCCTCCCTTTCCACCACTAACTCTCCTTCTGTCCTCTCCTCTCTGTAACGGACTTTTAGCGTTGTGAAACATCACACATGTTAGCTGTTTTTGAATGTGACTCTAACCGCACCCCAGCAGCAAGCTACCGACCATGGTGACGTCATCTGTGACATTTTAGTGGCATCACCCAGCTTCTGACCAATCACGTGGCAGAGTCATGTTGCACCGGGCATGGCAGTTTGAGCAAGGCATGCTGGGAGAGCTTGTGCAAGGCCTGATGGGTAGTTTGTTTTGCCAGTCATGAAGCAGATCTGTCACGTCATGCATGCGTCTGATGAGTACTTGATTCTGATTGGCTGAGAAGTGGGTTTCTTTTAAGTGATGTGAGAAGACTTGGGGAAAATATAGACACTGTCATCAATAAGAACAGATAGAAACAAGAGTAGATTCTTGTAAAGAAACAATAGATCATGTCATCTACTCATTAGGAAGAGCAGTACGTCAGGTCAATAGAAACTACTCGATCTCAATCAAACCAAAAGCAGCCCTTATCAGTAGATCCTTTTACTAAGTCTGTCGGTAGAAACAGTACAGAATCCTTAGTATCCCAGTAGACACATTCAAAGATCCTTCCTGCCAAAGCGAAAGTAGATCCTTTCACTAAATCTGTTAATAGAAATATAAGCAAAACCAGTTCAAACCACAGTAGATCTGTGTCTTTTGTTGCTAAAAACATCTGCTTTAATAAAACAGACAAACGCAGAGCGCCTGCTCTGGCATTGTTTGAGTGTGAGCGGTGTACAAACACGCAGGAGACGGGGAAACGGAGATCCGTGTGGGCACAGGAGACCCTCAGAAAGAGGACACACCGCTGGTAGTTTCCTATCTTAGTGATGGTCGGTTTGAGGCTTATTTTAGGATGATAATCCAAGCAACTGTAAACTTCTGTCAGCACAACTGAGGACCCGTCTCTCCATTCATTGAATTGGACAATGTTAAAAACGCGAATGACGTCGGGCGCTTTACTGGTCAGTTTACTTGCGCCTCTCACTGCAAAAAACATGTCTGATCCGGGCCTTAGTCAGTAAATCTGCCACTAATCTAGTCAGTAGATCCTGTCAGTAAAACAACAGTAGATCCTGAAACAGCCATAGATCCTTTCAGTAGATCCTGTCAGTAAAACAACAGTAGATCCTGAAACGGCCATAGATCCTTTCAGTAGATCCTGAAACGGCCATAGATCCTTTCAGTAGATCCTGTCCTGCCCTGAGTCAAAACAAAAGACGTTCATCTCTGTGCAAACACTAGTAGATCTTTTCAGAATAGTAAATCAAGCTGGTAGATCCTGTCAGTCCCAAGAGTAGATCATTTAAAAAACAACAACAATAAATCAGGTCAGTGGATCCTTGCAGTTGAAACAAAAGTATATCCTGTCAGAGGTAGATCCTGTTAGTAGGTCAGTGAATAGAAACAGTAGTAAATCCTAACAAAACAACACTCAATTTAGTCAGTAGATCCTTTCAGGAAAACTGTAGATACTTTTACTAGAACTTATGGGCAAATCTGTTAATAGAAACAACAGCAGATCATGTCAGTAGATTCTGCAATTAGAAACAACACTGGAACAAGTCAGTAGAGCCTAGCAGTAGATGTTAAAAGTAGATCCTGTCATTGAACTGCATTAGATCTAGTATGTTCTGTAAGAAGAAGCAGCAGTAGATTCTGTCTGTAGAAACAACAGTTGATCCTATCAGCGGAAATGAGTGAGGTGATTCTCAGGGAGGAGCCTCTCTGTAGAAACAACAGTAGATCACGGCTCTACCAGTAACTACTAAAAGATCAGGTTGGTAGATCTGGTCAAGAAAATTAAAAATAGATCCTATCAGTGGATCCTATAGAGTAGATCCCGTCAGTAGTCCTCAGAAACAGCGGTAGATCCCAGAAATAGAAAGTCAAAAACAACATCAGTCAGACACAGCAGAAGAACCAGAAGAAGAAACAATAGAATCTGTCAGTAGAGACCAATCCCGTCCTGGTGTGATCAGGGCAGCTGGGGTCAAAGGTCGGACTCCCATGATTCTTTTGACCTCCCTGTTTTTGATGCATCCAACTGGCTGTTTTTGCCTGACTGCCTTTGACTGGATGTTTTTGATTGGCTGTCTTCAGGCAACCATCATGTCAGGCTCCACCCTCAGTCTGAACCATGACCCCACCCCCCTGCGCAGCACACTGGGCCGCCAGGCGAGCTTCCAGGAACGCAGCAACTCCAGACCACAGGTAACCCGGTCTTACCTGTGACCCAACATCCATGCTTGACTAATCAGTGTTATATTATGACATGGTGAGTGTTTATATCTGTGATGTTCCTCAGGTGACAGCCCGGTCCAACACCTTGCCGTCTGACCCCCAACGCAGAGCCTTTGCCATGAGGAAGATGAGGCAGGAAGTCAATGAGATCCTAAACCAGAACCCAGTGGAACTCCACAAGGTGACCTTTGACACCTCACTTCAAAGTGACTGGAAAATAATGTAGTTGATCGTAACAAGAGTCTGTGTTTGTGTTTGTAGCTGACTCTAGAGAAGGCTTCAGATCTGGAGGATTTTGGCTTCAGTGTTTCTGACGGTTTGCTGGACCGCGGTGTCTACGTAAGCAACATCCGACCGGGAGGCCCAGCAGAGCAGGGAGGCCTCCGAGCATATGACCGAATACTGCAGGTACAAAAACACGAGTATCAGCCACTCAGGCACAGTGGTGCTTTGAGGTAAATGCAAGGATGTTGACCATGTTCACCATCTTAATTTAGCATGTGAGCATGCTAATGTTTGCTAATTAGCATTAGCGACAAAGTACAGCTGAGGCTGATGGGAATGTAATTTGTTCGAAAGATCATAAACCAAATTATTGGACAAATTTTGATCTGTGGATAGTGCTCGACATAAAGGCATCACTGAAGTTATTACAGTTCATCCTGTGGGGAGCATGTGTTTACGGAAATCTATCCAGTAGACTAACACCGCTAGCATGGCTAATAGCATGGCTGATAGCATGGCTGATAGCATGGCTGATTGCATGGCTGATAGCATGGCTGATAGCATGGCCGCTAGCATGGCTGATAGCATGGCTGATAGCATGCCCCTGAAAACACCAAACTACAATATATCAACAATATAAACACTACGAGAAGGATTCAGTTCGTTAGGTTGGCAGTCTTTGGAAAAGGTGTCATTCGCAATGGTTTATAGCCAATGGATTAAATGAACGGGGAATTTCCTTCTGGAACCGGAGCCGTGAAAAAAGTGGACGGTCACTGCTCTGTTGAGGGTGTTGACCTCCCCCCAGATTAAACCTTTTCCTTCTTTGTCTTCCAGATTAACCACGTGCGGACCAGGGACTTTGACTGCTGCCTCGTCGTCCCGCTGATCGCAGAGTCTCCTAACCATCTGGAGCTTGTCATCAGCCGAAACCCCACCTCCTCCTCCTCGTCCCTGCTGGCCAATCACACTGATGGACTCACCAACAGCGCCCACTCCCCTCAGCCAATCTGCAGCGAGCTTGGACCGTCGGAGCTCTCCATCGGCCAGGGAGAGGATGGCGGTCCGATCAAGTGGAGCAAACCGGGAGACGGGCTGGGGGCGGGGATTGGGTTGGGGCAGTTGAATAATAAATCCTTATAGCAAACAAAAACTGCATGAAACTGGATTCAACCGGTTCTAACCAGATTGGATTTGCGAGGTCTAGAACAATAACAAACCCCATCCGACTGGTTCAGCGTGGACCCCCATGGTGCTACACACCCTCTGGATAAACTTTGACCCTTAAACACTAAAGTTTGACCTTTGAACTGCTAAAGCAGCCTGAAAGCACACTGATGGACTGAAGCAACTCCTCACCTTTTCACCTGAACCAGTTCTTCATACTGGTCCAACTGGTGTCACTGGAACCAGAACTACGACTACTGATTTTACTGAAACTAGCCCAGAACCACGGCCAATGGTTCACGACATGTGGGTTCTGGTCTTAGTGGTCTGAGAATCATGGCTACTGAATCCACTGAAGCCATAGCCAGTTGTCTTACTGGTACTAAGACACATGGGCTCTGGTCTTAGTGGCTACAGAACCATGACCGTACTGGAGCCACAGCTAATGGTCTTACTGGTCCAAGACACATGTGTACTGGTTTTAGTGGTGACAGAACCATGAGTACTGGTCCAACTGAAGCCTGAGCCACAGCCAGGGGTCTTACAGGTACTAAGACTTGGTCGTGATCTTATTTGTCACAGAACCACAGGTACTAAACCAGAGCCGTGACCACTGCTTCTACTAGTCCAGAAGTGTGGCTCCTGGTCCATCTGGTCTTGCGAGAAGTATAACTGTGGCTTCAGGTTGTACTGGCCAAAAACCACAGCAGCACAAAGACCGATGGGACTCCAGAATCTAGAACCTGCTGGTGGACAGACCGGTTGCCCTGGACACTAGGGATGCTCCGATTAGGCCGATAAGGCGTTAATGTTATTGGGATCGCCCTAACCATAATTGATTAGTGACTGGTTTGTGTTTTTAAACATTTGAAAGAAAGCCTCCTGAATAAGAAACCGTTTCAAAAAACCCACCACTTTGGTTTAAACAAAATCTTAACCTTGATATTCTTCATGTTAGAATCATTGGTCTAAATATTAGTATTTTATGCTGCTACAAAAGGCAACTCCTCAACCTTGGTATGTCTGAATAATCACAAAGGAGCCTGGGAGTTCCAGTCCATCAGTCCGGTCCACTTCCAGTTAAGTCTGGGGTGAGCTTGAAGCACTGGAACTGTTACTAATGGTCGCACTTGATGTCAGAAAGATTCTGACAATCTGACAAGCACTTTGTTTGAAGCAAACTGTTGTTTTAACGCATACTTGATTTGTCTTCGGTCTCGCGGTCACAAAATTGGGTAAGAAGCTGTGCGGCGAGAAGGAAAAAGGGGGATGGATCCCAGCAGAGTTATGGGAGGAAGTACCTTTTATTGGGCCCGAAGGGTTGGCATAAGAATAAAGATGGTCATGGTTACGAGCAAGTCTTTAGAAGAGTTTAAAATCACACATGGTTGGGTGAAGGTGAGGGTTTAGCGTAGTCCAGGTTAGGAGAAGAATCGAGGAGGATGGGAAGATCACAAGATTGAATGTGGTTCTGATATGCTGGGTAATCCTGCAGATTTATGAAACTTGGAGACATCCAAAAATGCTATGTGACCAGCAGCATAGACTTACGGTGGTCAACAGCAATGCTTGGAGATCATGTTAGTGATGGGCGGGCAATACCAATACGTTCATCAGCGTTTGTGAAATGAGGACTTCTTCAGTAAGCCTTTTGTTGGATTCACACTACTGTAAGTTTTGCTACTAGCCTTATTGTGCTCAAATGACCCAAAACATTATTTAGAGAAGGATGGCTGTAAAGACCTAACCCTTGTGAAGTGTTTGTACACTTTAAATGGATTGAAACAGTAAAACTAGTGAGGTGTTGTGGTGCTTTGGCCCCTTTCCTTGCGTGGCTCCTACAGTTCCTGCAAACCACCAGATGTCACTGCTTTACACCACAAAGCTTCAGATGTTTTTACAGCACAAACCAGAAGAAAACCCTAAAGATTCAGAAGACTTTATCCTCTATCCTACTTTATCCTTTATAAGGGCTGGTTGTCAAACCTCCTTACTGTTTTTTTTTTGCTGACAAACTTGTGTACATAGCACCGAGTAGCTACCATTGCCAAGCAAAGCAAATTTTGGTTTACTTTGTCTTTGATCAAACAGGTAGTAATTTAAATCAAATGTAAATTCTTGACTTTAAAAGCAGCTGGTAAACAATCTCAGCACAATGTCCATGTAGCTGTAAGTAGCTGTTCCGGAGCTACAAAATCATTTCTTAGCTGCTGTTTAAAACTCAACTTTTAACTCAATAAATGCAAAAAGTCCCATGACAACTGGGCAAACTCAATCTGCTAAGAAAGATCATGTGATATGATCAAAAACTGAGATTGTTCTCTCAACAAAATTGACCAATTTTAGACTGGAGTTTGGCAGAAAACGTGTTTACATTTCTCAATGAATGAAAAAAGTATAGACAAATAACAATATATATAAACAATACCCAGCCCTAGAGGTGTAATCAGGCAGTCAAGTATTTTATTTATCGATCAATAAGAAACAAATCTAACATTTTCCAAGAATTATCAGCTGATCGGAGCATCCCTAATGAAACGGGCAGAAAGAGACAGATGGTTTACTGTTAAGATTTTTGTTCTGTGCCATGAACGAGCTGCAGACTGGAAGGGAAATAATAATCATGTTGACAATAATGATGATGATGATGAAGATGATGATGACACTGAGCAGTTCAATAAGAATCTTTTTCTACTGTTTACACCTGTTGGACTGGCCACACTGTGTGTATGTGTGTGTGCGTGTCTGTGTGTGTGTTTGTATGTTATGTGTGTGTGTGTTAAACACAAGGCCAGTAAAGCCCCCCCACCTCATTTCCTCGTCTTGGCTTTGCCCCCCCGGCCCCCCCAAAACGCACTTCTTCCCTCGACCAATAGGCAGCCAGGATGACAGACAGATGCCAATTCTGGGAGATTCAGCTGATTGGCTGGAACCAATCAGGAGAAGAAGAAAAAAAATGTCCCTGCCTCTCTGTGATTGGTTCTCCTTGACACATAAACTGACCAATCAGTTCCCAGGTAAAAGCCAAGCATGCCCCCACCCCGACTTCCCTGTCCACCCCCACCCCCCGTAACAGTGATCTATTATGCTAATCGATCTGTGTGTTTTTTGATTGACTGTTGTCAGTTTTCTCTGTTTGTTTGTTTCCATGGCGGCTGAACCTGAAAATATGTAAAATAGATTAAAAAAACGGTTTCAGTCCCGTCGCTGTTCACATCCAAACCATCCAAACCCCGAAAACCTTCACCTCATGACCACGAAACAACAAAGTTACACGAGAAAAAAGAAAAAGATCCTGATTAAACAGGAAACCTGTGACAGTAAATATGTGTGTGCGCGTGCGCGTGTTTGTTTATTTTGGAGTGATGTCAACATCTTTCTGCTCTCACCTCAGTCTGAACTCACTATTTAAACTGGCCAATCAGAACCCTCCTTCAGCACCAGCCACCAGTCGAAACCCTCCCTGACTTTAACAACCAATAGCTCTCTGCGAACGTTCCTGTGCTTCGGATCGGACAGTTGCGATTGGCTGTTCGGCTCCATCCCAAACTTTGTGAACTGCGACGTTTTGAATCTGAAGCACAGGTTAGCATATGGCTAGCAGACACTGAGCACAGGGATAGCAAAAGCTTAAGATGTTACACATACCACACTGCACAAGGCTAATACTAGCTAAGACAGGGCTACCATCTAGCCAGCATACCTAGACCTTAGCACATGGCTAGCAAAGGGCCAACTCCTGGTTAACACAACCAGTGTACGGTTAACACAACAAGGCTAATATAGGGCTAACAGAGAAATGTGTTAGCACATGGCTATGACAGAACTAACATCTTGGTAACAAAAGTAGTATGTTTAGCACACACCTTGAACAAGGTTAACACAGGGCTTACACGCCAAAATTTGGTTAGCGTGTAGCTAACACAGGGCTAGCATCTGGTAAACATTGCTAATAGTTGTTTAGCATACAGTTAAAGCAGAGCTAATACCTGGGTAACACTACTGGTACGTGGTTAGTGCACATTAGAACAAGTCTAACACATGTAAACATAGCTAATACAGGGTTAGCAAGCAGCGATCACAGGGCTAGCGTCTGGAAAACATCGCTAGTTGTTTACCATACAGATAAAGCAGGGCAAACACCTGGCTATAACGGCTAGGTGTTAGCATAGGGCTAACACCGGGTTAACACAACTGGTAAATGGTTTGTGCATATTAGAACAAGGCTAACACGTGTAGACATAGCTAATACAAAGTTAGCACAGGGCTATCACAGCTAGTATTCAGTTAGCACAAGGCTAACATTCACTAGTCAAAGACCTGTTGGTAGTGGTAACTAGAAACAGAGCTTTGCCAGATGTTTAGCGCTGTTAGCATTTTAGCACTAAGCCAAGACAAAATGTTTCACCAATGGGAAAAGGCCACAGAGCTGAGGGGCGTGGCTTCAGGAGGGTTTGATGAGATTTAAAGCCATACACACTGTTTGTGCGCATGTGTTAACTTTGTGTGTGTGTGGGTGTGTGTGTGTACCTGTATGTTAGAGGGTGTGTTTGTGTGTGTGTGTTTAGCATTGCTGGGATTTGCACTCTAGTGATTCACCTCAGCAAGATGTCGCCCCCTCCCCCCTCCCCCTCCCTCCCCACACACACACACAATGCACTGCCATTTGAAATAGTGGGTCAGATTAGTTTCCATGTAGCTTCACCAACCAACCAAACTGTATTTTTCTTTAAAGGAACAGGGATGTTGTAAAGTATTTTTGTACAAATTTAATACTTTGGTAGCATGACGTTCCTGGTGTTTGTCCTGTCGGGCTCCACTGCTCTCCTCCACCCCCCTTTGTATGAACGACTACTGAGCAACAATAAAGATGACGACCTGCTGGGAGGACCGGAGTCCGTGTTTGTTTTTAAAGTAACACACAACATACTCATTTTTAATATGGAAGAAATAAACTGATATAAACAATAAACAAATATTACTTGTAAAGTAAACTTTTCTGGTACTTTAATTAATGTTGAGAACAACTATAAACAACACATTCTGCAACAAATATACTTAATTTGATAGAACTACAATATAATAATTATACATGTTAAAATAATATCTGAAAATAAAATACTTTCTTATTATTTTTCTTTAATTTACCTTTTACCAGTTTTGTATCGCAGTTTATTGTTACTCATCAGTTAAAATTTATACTCTGGGAAAAATGTGGATTGGGGGGGGGGCCACAATCATTCCTGCTCGCCTCAGAGACCTGGAGGTGTGCAGGTCTCCAGGGCCCAGTTGTTCAAAAGTAATCTGATCGGATTTTGGCTATGGGATTGGATCAAATCTTGAAAATGGGTTGTTCAAAAGAAAAAAAGGATTCTGAAATTGGATCAGATCACCTGATCCAATCAGATCAGATCACCTGATCCAATCCTGGTTGTGATCCAGATCAAACCTTCAGTTTGTGTTGTTCAAAGCTTTTTTGTAGGATTGGGATCTGTTTGATCCAAAAAATCAGGATTATCCTGATCCCAACAGAAAGGCTGGATTCAGGGTGGATTTTAGGAACAAAATATAATAAAACTTTAAAAATTTGACAAATAATTTTTATCATTTAGTAGCCTATTTATACACATTTATTTCTACTTTGCACTTGATTTGCTTAAACGTTACAGTGATAAAGTAGACATTACCTACAAGCCATCCAATTCAATAAAGTAAAAAAAATTTTTGTCATTATTACTGTACATTAATCACAAAGGCACAATCATCAGAGGTGAATCATTCAAAAGCAGATGGGGGATCTGTTGATGTAATAAAATTATTATATTTAGCTAAAGTTTGTTAAATTAATTAAATCTCCGTTAAAATTGAATCCGGATGTGACGTTGCCGCTCGGCGCTCTCCTCTCCTGCCTGCCTGCTCGGTGGATCGCTGGTGGATTAGTTCTGTCTGTTCCCCGGTGTGTTGTCGCTGTTAGCTGTTAGCTGTTAGCACCTGCTGCTGCTGCTGCTCCGCTACGTTTCTGCTGCGTTTCATCTCCTGCTAACCGGTTCGAAACATAAACCGACGTCTCTGCCGGATAAATAAACGCAGAGCCCGGCAGGAATCATGTCCACCGCCCTGGAGAGCTACATTAACCGTATCCTCCTGCTGCTAGCTAACATGCTAACCGCCCGTTTGAATGAATGAAGAAACGCTAGTCAGGTTAGCATCCGAGCTAGGAGCCGTTTAGCTGTGCGGGAGTTTATTTATCAGTGTGTTGAAGCAGTGTAGTTGGTTATTTAAGTAGATTTAATGCGCTTTTTCAGTCCAGGAAAGTGTTGTTTCTTTAACTCTTGTGTGACTCAGGTACTGTGGCCATCGTCACCTCAGACGGCAGGATGATTGTGGTGAGTTTATCTCTAACTAACTGTCATTTTATTGATTTATCAGCTGTTTCCTATAACCACACATGCTGCTGGTGGTTCTAGCTTCCCCAGTGTAAATTAATCTGTTTGGCCTCTTGATGCTAAAGAGAGACACTTGGCTTTATTTTGGATGGATAGTTGTAGTTTAACGTTGGCATGTTTCTCTGTTAGCAGGTTCTTTAGCCCGAATGCATCAGTGGTTGCTTTTAGTTAAAAAGTTTTCTCTTTAGAATTTAGGGGTGAGCAATAAAACAATAAGTGAGATACTTTTCCTCATTAACTTTAATTTATTTGAATCACAAACAATTTTTCTTTTAGGATTTTTATTTTGTTGAGGAAAAGGGACTGAAAAAAGCTTCTGCTTTATTTTACTCGTGCATATTTGTTGAAAACTTTATCAAAATAGTTTTGAATGTTGTGCTTCAGATTTGTGAGGTGATCCACTGTTTGGCATCAAGTGTTTGTTCTGACCATAAAGAAAAAGTTTAAACCACAAATAACCATCTGGTTTCTTCAATTTTCACTCAGGAGCAAAAATCTGCCTTTAAACTTGACTTTTATCCTGATAATTATCGATACTGAATGAAATTTCTTATCGTGATAACATATTTGGCCTCATCGCCCAGCCCTATTAGAATTTACCATTTGCTTATTTTTAGTCAGTTAATTGAGTGACTTAATGTCAGATAAAGGATGTTTAATGCCTTGTCTCTCCATGTAGTTAATTTCCCATCTATTCACATATTTATTTTTTTCCCCACAAACAGCGGTGGAAGAAGCATTCAGACTCTTTACTTCAGTAAAAGTTTTAGTACCACACTGAATATACTCCACTACATGTAAAAGTCAACATTCAAAACTTACTTAAAGAATAATTTCAGTAGTTTTAAACCTGGTCCCTGTCTTCAGATATTTTGGCATAGAAATGACAAGTAGGTAAAGAATCTGTGCAGTAGATGCTTCAGCCGGCGGCTGAACCGGCCGCAACGTATTCCTTCTCGCTCTGAAATCTCGCAAGAGGCCAGTTGATGCAGGAAAACGCCGGTGGAAACAGAAGAGAAGAGTTTGTTGTGTACGTAGAGGAGCTGCAAGCGAGACTTTATTTCCTGGTGTTAATCCAACACAACAAACTCCTCTCTCCAACTCTATCTGCCTTCACACTGCGTTATTTTCCGGGAGTATTACAAACAACAACAATTTGCCGGCTCGCTGCGCTGTAGCTGGAAAAGGGGGGTCGTCAGGCGGTTCATCTGCCGGCTGAAGCCTTTACTGCACGGATTCAAAGCTTTTTGTCATTTCCACACCAAAATATGTGAAAATAGGGCAGAAATTATCCTTTAACTATGAGTATGTATTATCAGCTATATGTACTTAAAGTATGAAAGTAAAAGTACTCATGTTGCAGTAAAATCTTTCTCTTTTATATCTGATGTTTCTGGATTAATATTCCTGCTGCATTAAGATGTTTAAGGTTGAGCTCATTTTAACTCCTTTATATCCTCTTGGGTAGTTTAATCTGCAGCAATGCATCATGGTCTATAAGATCACCATATGTTTGGCTGTCCTGTGAGAACCTCGTGTCTCTAAACAGTCAGAAAAACAGCCTGTTTTCAGCTTTGTGACGATGCATTTTCCAGCTGATGCAAGGAGGTTTAAAGAGTTTATTCAGCTGGAGGAGGAGGAGGATTTTCTCAGAACTTAAAGGAACTCTTCATCCTGCAGTTTAAAACCAACACCTGGAGATGCAGGATGAAAAACAGTAGCTGTCGGACACATGTCGTGTAGTAAAAGTACAATATTACCTCCTTAGATGTCGAGAAGAAGAAGTATAAAGCTGCATAAAATGGAAATACTTAAGTAGAGTGAATGTGTGTGTGTTCAGGGCACACTGAAGGGCTTCGATCAGACCATCAACCTGATCCTGGACGAGAGTCACGAGCGGGTGTTCAGCTCCAGTCAGGGGGTGGAGCAGGTGGTGCTGGGACTCTACATCGTCAGAGGGGACAACGTGTGAGTCACATGTTTAATAATCAATAACCTATCAATCCATCACATCAGCTTTATTTCAGTATCAGACGGAGCAATGGTAGAACTATCTTGAACATAAATGATACAGGCAGTGGCGGAGGAAGTATTCAGATCAGGTTCATCAGATTTTTATATGTTTTGTGTGTTAAAATCCTAATTTATAAAGTAAAAAGTAACTAAAGCTGTCAGATAAATGTAGCGAAGTAAAAAGTACAATATTTCCCTCAGTACAAGTACCTCAGATTTGTACTTATGTACAGTATCTGAGTAATTTTACTTGATACAGATGTTTTTATGTATCGATTAACACAAATTAAGAGTAATTTGGAACAGAATCAGCTGCAGCTTCTTCCTGAACGGATACTTGATTGATTTTATTAACAAATCGATCGTTTTCTTCAGGGCCGTGATCGGGGAGATCGACGAGGAGACGGACTCCACTCTGGATTTAGGAAACATCAGAGCCGAGCCGCTCAACTCCGTCGTCCACTGACCTCTGACCCCCCTCCTCTCTCTCCAGGGCGAAAGATGACGGCGTGACCCGGTTGTTTTACAGGAGCCCGTTTGCAGTCGCAGGTTTACAGAGTTATCTGGGTCAGCTGAGACTGATGATAAATAAAAAAAGATACTCCGTGTACCTTCTTCCACTAACCGACTCCTGCACGACATTCTTCTGTTTGTGTTTTTTTTATAAATAAAGTTTGGACTTGCTCCGAGTTGTTAGATGAACTTTTTTATGCTTTGCGTCTGTTTTTTTTGTTGTCAGATTGAGGTTGTTTAATAAAGTTTCATTTCTCGTATTTCGACAAAAACCTCTGTGTGTTTGTCTGTTTATACAATCTTCTTCTCCAGTTAGCAGTACTACTTTGTAGAAATACTCTGTTAGAAATAAAAGTACAAAAGTAGTAGCATGAAAATATACTTAAAAGTACTCATCATACTATCATAATTATTGTTTATCACTTTAATGTTGCTAATTTTAATAACGTTATTTTTATATATATATATATATATATATATATATGAGTAGCTTAATCAATAATAATGTTAAATTTATTTATTGACCATTTATGTATTTTATTTATTAGTTGTGTATTTTAAATGTTTGAGTGGAAATTATAAAAAAAAAGGTACCTCAAATTTGTACTTAAGTACTTTCCACCTCTGTTATTTACAAAACTTATTTACTTAACTAAAATCTGACTGAAGATGTTTAATTCCTCCTTTTTGACTAATCATGCGTTGAATATTGAGAGATATTTTAATTTTAAGGGCCCTTTAACTAATTCTTATTAATGTGTTCATTTATCCCATGTGAAGTGAAGGTAATTTATAAGAATTAGTGGCAAGTCTAAATTTTCTTCATTACTCATAGTAATTAGCTGAGAAATGTAAGTTCTTAAAAAATTAACGCAGAAACTTTTGCTCATGCAAAGGGAGGGGTGACTGATTCTTGTGGTGTCGGAATAACCAGAATTTTTTTTCGTCCTTATATCTTTAATGCAAAAAGAGAAATAAAGTGTACATGAGACATAAAGAAGTATACAGAAAAGTATACAAATACATAAGAAGACACAAATATTTAAAACTTTGTCAAGGGTAGTCTAAATTAAATAAAAATATGAATATTATGATTTCAGGTTTTTTGTTGTTGGATTTAGAAATTAAATTGCTCTGATAATGATAATCCAACACATCTGTGTAGCAGCGTCCATGTTGACTCTGTTTTAAATCAAGCACCCCTTTATTAATGTAAACTACATAGTTTAGCAACAGTAACTGAGGGGGGCGGGGCTTAGCGAAGCATTGATTGTTCTGCAGGGGGTTTGTTATTGTTTGTGTTCATGTGTTAATAAATAACAGTGAAACAAAAACATGCATTAATTAGGTAGCATCAGTTCTTTCACTAAAGTCCGTGTTTGTTGCGTTTGTGCGTCGTCATGTGATCTCAGAGTCAGAGCGTTCTGTAATCGATTGATCTGGTCTGGAGTCGGAGCGGGATTCTCGTAATGGAGCCGCAGCCAGGCGTCGCCTGAAAACACACAAATCAGACATCATCAGGAGTTTAATAGCAGGAGACCGAAATCAACTATCAATCTTCATCAACAACCTCTCACCTTCCGTGACCCTCTGACCTAGCGACACCAGTAGCTCCGCCCCTACGCTGTGATTGACAGGCTCTCCTGACTTCGTTCGTCCCGCCCCCAACTTATGAAGAATTTCGGCTAAAACCAAACCATCCACGTCCACAACTACACCTGCAGGAGGACACATAGAGACGGGGTTTATCGATTAATCATCGGTCACATTAATCAGGTTTTTAGGGTCCTTTGAAGTCACTTTTTTTTATGATAGAAGATGTAATGATTAAAAATGATATTTGTCACTGCTGAACAGAAAACGTTTTAATACAAGAAATGATGGAATTTACATAATGTTACTCATTCCTGCTTATTTTTCGAATTATGGTATTGATTTTTAGTTTTAAAAAACTGTTGTAAACATATATGTAAATTTATAAGGACATATTAGAAGAAGTAAGTAAAATGTGAGTAAGTAAATATTATGTTAATTACTAATGTATATGAATATGTGAATAAAACTTTTGGTAAATATTTATGTTCTTAAGTCAAAATATGTAAATCTATAAGTATGTAAGTCAGTATAAATGTAAATAAGTAAATATTAACTACGTAAGACATAAAAAATTTAGGTGAGTAAATACATATACTGTATAAATATTTAATATTATTGCTAATGCTGTGATACTATATAGAATTTAATAAATAATAATACAGAATATGCAAAAATTTTGTTTTCCCAAAACACACCTAAACATTTATATTCTGTGTTGTTGTTTTTGTTTATTTACCATCTGCAGGGGTCTTCAGTTCCATCTGACGCTCAGATTTTCTCAGGACCGTGTAGTAATCTGTGTGGGCGGAGCACAGCGACCGAGCCTTCTCATTGGCCACGCCCTGAGCCTCCATCATGTTCTGGAACTTGGATAGAGCAGCTCCACCAATCACAGCATCGGAAATCTGCCTCCTGCCTTCTGATAGGTTGGACACCAAGCCGGTCATCATCAGCAACACACCGCCTACAGGAACAGCAACGTATACATATATTTACAACAACAACAAAAACAATTAGATTTTTGAAACACAAATATGTAATAAGAAATTATCCTTTTTTTAGTGATGAATGGACTTTTTATGCTGCTGTAATTTTCCAGTTAAAACAAATAAATGTTCATTATTAGGGGGTTACTACTAACTAAATATCATCAACTTTACTGGATTCTTCAGCTGGTAAAAGAAGCAACAACAGATCATAAAATAAAAATATCTTGTAATCTAAAGAATTTCTAAGTTAAGTTAATTTGGTTTAAATTACTTAGGTTGTGGTATTGATGCATATACATTTGCTGAAGCTAAGTAAGTAAGATTAAGGTAAGTAATAAAGTACTTAAGTAGGCACAAAATGTATATCAGTATATATATATATATATAGAAGTGAGTCTCATATTCCTGAGGAAGCATATTCACATCATTTCCAGTTATCGTGTTTTGTTTTGCGGTTTGAACCCTAACAAATATAATTTTTTAAGTAAACATGAACTTTGTACAAAAGGGCCTGTTAAGTAGCGATCTCTGTGTTTGTGCCGGGAAAGCTCCAATTTCCCAGGCTTCCTGAAGTACTCACCGTGCGCTCTGACTGCACCTGGTTTAATTTGCGTAAAATCTGAGTGGAGTCTGGTGCAGAGTCCCGGATGTGGAGGGAGCTTCACGCTTCAGACAGGTAGGCAGCCGCTGGTGTAGCTAACGTTAGCCTCGCAAGCTAGCTAGCTAATGTTTGTGAGTGAAGAAACAAACAGTCGTTGTAAAAGTCAGCCGGTCACACCGAATTATTTACTAACATCAATCAGTGAAAATTACCATCATCGAGTAGTTTGTCTCGTTACTGTGTTCATACCGGAAAGAAATATTAAAAAACGGTTAAAATTTTACGCTAACTTTAGCTTCTACTGCTTGAGCTGGATTCCTGCCGCACATTTAGAGCTGAAACAATTTGTTAGTTAATTAATTAACTATTTTAGGCCCGCAGATAACTATTCATTTTGGTTTGAGTCAAAAAATAATGAAAAACTGATTTCCCAACAGTCCAAAATTAAAAGATATTAATATAGCTGAATATCATAAAACAGGAAATCCTCAAATTGTAGAACCTGCAAGTTTTTATTTAAAAACAAAAAATGTATTCAGTAATTTTCATTGTAAAGTAAAACTGCTTCACAGGTTCCATCTTCTGACTTTGTTGTGATAATAAACTAAATATCTTTGGATTTTGGCACATTTTTAGACAAAACAAGACATTTGAATCAATTGGATCACCCTGGGATTTAGGAAATTTTGATGACGGACAAATATCAAAGGAACAAACAAATAATTACTTGATTTAAGAAAATAATCAACAGATTAAATGATACTTAAAAGAATGATTAGTTAGTATTTAGTATAGCTGTGAAGTCCTGTATCAGGTGGTAGCTAATGGATAAACAAACTATAGAGGTGCAACTAATTATTATTATTTTCGTAATCAGTTAATCTCCAAATTATTTTCAGAGTTAATTTAAAACTTTTGATCTTTAAAATTTCGGGAAATGGTGAAAAAAAAAATCTCTTTGCCATAGACTTTAAAATGATACAAAACATATAATAATTAGATGTTTTTTGCTTAAAAAAGCACTAAAACGATTACTTGAGTATCAAAATAGTTTACTGGCCTATTGAATTACTTAACTTGAATCTGTTGCAGCTCTAATTAGTTGTCAACTAGTCTGTTAGCAGAAAACTGATAAGCAACTAATATTTAAGAAATATTTAAGCAAAAATGTCATTGTGATTCCAGTTTGTCACTTGGGAGGATTTTCTGCTTTCTTGTCTCAATGTGAATTAAAAATCAATATATTTGGTTTTGGACCGTTTATTTGACAAAACAAGACATTTGAATAAGTCAACTTTGCTCTCAATTGAGAAAACAGAGAAAAAGTGTCAGATTTATCGATAATCTTCCTTAGTAACATTTTCATATTGTTATGAAATTCAGCCTCAGCTGTTTACCTACTGTAACAGGTGTTTTAAAGTCAATTCACAGGCTAAAACAAAGTAAGCTGTTTTAGTACTCAACCAAACATTTGCTGCTTTTATTTATTTATTTTTCTGATGTGAAATTGAAATCTTTGTGTTTCAGAACGAGACATGTGGAGACGTCACCATGGGCCCCTGGGTGAAACTGTGGTAGGCTGTGGTAGTTTTTTATTATTAGTTTTAAATCATAATCTGTCGAATTCGATCACCTTGACTATATTTATATGGATGTTGGTCTGTAGTTTTTCTGTCTGAATTCATAAACAAATGTCTGATGTGACCTGTTAAAAAAAGCCCGGTTTGGCCCTGATACCGGTCCTCACGATCGGCTCTGTGCATCTCTAATATTGGTGTTATTGATGATCTGTCAAGCACAAAAAAACTATTTGGTTTCTTTTTGGGTTGAACTGAACCGCAGTTTATAACTGAGATTCCTCCAATACCTTTTACACACTGTGTGTGCGTGTGTGTGTTGCCATGGCAGGAAGCTTTGTTGTTCCCGCCGCCGTCATTGATTTTATTTGCATCTTATTGAAACGCCCACAAAACGTGTTCTGACGTACAGATGTGGGAGGAAAGCGATTTAAAACTCAAAGTTAATGCGTCAAAACCTCCAAATAACCAAGTTAACTTCATGAAGAACAAATTAAAGTCGTTACCCAGAGTTGTGACCAGCTCCATCAGGTCGGCGGGTCCCTTCCCCTTCAGCGTCTCCAGAGACTCAATCACCTCCAGACTGTTGCCCACACATCGACCAATCGTACCGTCCATACAGCTGAGCACCGCTGCCGTACGCATGCCCACGCCGTTTCCTACATTCACCTGCAATAACACACCACCAACACCACCATCGTCATCATCTGCAGAACGTTCAGCATGTTAAAGGTTTAGTTATCACTAAAACTAGGAGGATGTCAGTAATGTTTTAGTGCTTGCGATGTCTTTTTATCAAGTTTTACGATTATTACAAACGTGGAAGTAGGTTAACTTTAGTCTTTGTGTAGAAAAGTTAAGATTGTTTTAAGGAATACGCCTGTCTCAATCCATTTAACGCTACACAAACACGCACTAAAGCTAAAAAGACCTGTTGATTAAATGATTCTTTGATCAACAGAAAATGTATTTCCAATAATTTTAACACTTGATTAATCTTTTCGATTGTTTTTGAAGTCAGATTCAGGTTTATTGTTAGCTGCAGCCCTGTTTTATGTGGCGCGTCCATTTAAACAAAATGTTTACCTTTTTTATTTTTATATAAACAATAAGTATTATATGGCAAATTATATTAATCACAATGTTTAGCTGCCTACTTTATAGCATTAAGGCCAGAACACACAGTCAAATCTCATCACATTAAACTTTACAAGCTGAATAGAATAGAAGCTTTTTTTATTACATTTTTAAAAATGTTTTTGTAATATAGATTTTTCAGCATTTTGATAAGCATCACATGGATTTTTAGACACTTACAGAGCGGTTTATTAAAATATAGTTTTTTCATTGATTAAATATACCAGTCATTGGCATGGAATCCTTTTTTCCACGTATTTACAGACCAAAAGCCGCATAAAAGGAGAATGATAAAAGTATATATTAAAGTTTTATAAAATAGAAAAATAACATGTTTATACGTATTAAGATTGTTTTGTACATTTTATGAAAGTATGATAATAGTAGTTGCTAAATAACTTGAGAGATTGAAGTAAAATCATTTTTTTTTGGACACATTTGTGTCTCGCCAGTTATTTATAAAGATTTCTAAAGCTTAATATATAATTGTTAAATTCTAAAGCGAACTATAAATATAAGCACATATCTTCAGAAGGCAAACTGTGCTAGCTGTTTATATCGTATATGAAAGTAATGTACTTACTAATAAGTGTGCTAGCTGTTTATATCGTATATGAAAGTAATGCACTTACTAATAAGTGTGCTAGCTGTTTATATCGTATATGAAAGTAATGCACTTACTAATAAGTGTGCTAGCTGTTTATATCGTATATGAAAGTAATGCACTTACTAATAAGTGTGCTAGCTGTTTATATCGTATATGAAAGTAATGTACTTACTAATAAGTGTGCTAGCTGTTTATATCGTATATGAAAGTAATGCACTTACTAATAAGTGTGCTAGCTGTTTATATCGTATATGAAAGTAATGCACTTACTAATAAGTGTGCTAGCTGTTTATATCGTATATGAAAGTAATGCACTTACTAATAAGTGTGCTAGCTGTTTATATCGTATATGAAAGTAATGTACTTACTAATAAGTGTGCTAGCTGTTTATATCGTATATGAAAGTAATGTACTTACTAATAAGTGTGCTAGCTGTTTATATCGTATATGAAAGTAATGCACTTACTAATAAGTGTGCTAGCTGTTTATATCATATGAAAGTAATGTACTTACTAATAAGTGTGCTAGCTGTTTATATCGTATATGAAAGTAATGCACTTACTAATAAGTGTGCTAGCTGTTTATATCGTATATGAAAGTAATGTACTTACTAATAAGTGTGCTAGCTGTTTATATCGTATATGAAAGTAATGCACTTACTAATAAGTGTGCTAGCTGTTTATATCGTATATGAAAGTAATGCACTTACTAATAAGTGTGCTAGCTGTTTATATCGTATATGAAAGTAATGTACTTACTAATAAGTGTGCTAGCTGTTTATATCGTATATGAAAGTAATGTACTTACTAATAAGTGTGCTAGCTGTTTATATCGTATATGAAAGTAATGCACTTACTAATAAGTGTGCTAGCTGTTTATATCGTATATGAAAGTAATGTACTTACTAATAAGTGTGCTAGCTGTTTATATCGTATATGAAAGTAATGCACTTACTAATAAGTGTGCTAGCTGTTTATATCATATATGAAAGTAATGTACTTACTAATAAGTGTGCTAGCTGTTTATATCGTATATGAAAGTAATGCACTTACTAATAAGTGTGCTAGCTGTTTATATCGTATATGAAAGTAATGTACTTACTAATAAGTGTGCTAGCTGTTTATATCGTATATGAAAGTAATGTACTTACTAATAAGTGTGCTAGCTGTTTAGCACTCTCCAGGTCTTTATACAGAGCAGCTCGTCCAAACTTTACATCCAGCACCAGAGCGGACAGAGACTCGGCTCCTTTCTTTGAGATAATTGAACCTAAAACCACATTTAAATTCTTATTTAATTGGCCGGGACTGCCGTTGTATTCCTATAAGGCTAGTAATACCAGTTCAGTACCGGTAATCAGTGGTAAGCTGTTCACGGTGCTGGTGGCGTCCCGCAGAGCGTACAGGACTCGATCTGCAGGAACCAGCATCTCCGTCTGACCCACAATGCAACAGCCCACTGAGCCCAGGATCTCCAGAATCTACCAGAAATTTAGTTGTCAGTGAAATTCCAGGATTCTCCAAACAAAATTCAATACCATGGTTAAAAAAACTAAACAAAAACAATAAACTCCATGTACTTCAACATACACTTCTTTAAAAAAAACATTTGAACATTATAAAGAACAACTAACAGCTGTGAGAGGATGAGAGGTGGTTTGATGTCAATTTATTCATGAGAAAACTGTTGAGATTATTTTTTTTATGTGTTGAACAGACGTTCAGTTCTTAGAGCTGAAAGTCAGTTTAAACGGTGGTGCCTTCAACGCACTGCACTTTTTAATACAGTTGTGTTTACATACTTGCAGCTGATTGGGTAACCGGGCGGCAGAAAGGTTCATGCTGACCAGACAACACGAGCTGCTGCTGTCGACTCACAAAGCTAAATACAGCGGGTTGTAGCTGTAGAATAAGGGAACTCAAGGCGCTTTAACGCTGCCCAATTTTCCGGGATTATTACGGGAGTGAAGTTTCAAGCTGTTGTGTTACCAGTCGCAGTCTTTTATTTAACGGTCTAACTATTAAAGTCCATTGTTGTTTGTCATTTTTCTACCTTCTCCACAGCTTTCTCTCATTCCGTAAGCTTCAGGGAGCATTTCAGAATAAAAGCATTTTGCCTGCCCAATTTTGCTAAAATGTTCAAGTTTTATTGATTTGGCTTGGTCTTGTGCTTCTATTATGATTAAGTAGGCTACGTAGTTAAATGGTTTCTTTTTTGTCTGTGACAGTGTTTATTGTTGTTTTACGATCGGGAATCTGCACAGGGTATTTTATTTTGAAAATTGAGCGGGTGAGCTCTAGCAGCCGCTGCGTAGGAAAGCCGGAACGCTATGTGAAAGCACACACGGTTGCGGGGTTACACCGCAATATTTTGTTCAGTATGAATGAACAAATGTGACGTATTGGCGGACGTTCTTTCCACGTTTATTGCAGAATCTCTGTGTGAAAGCGGCTTCAGATACCAGTGAAATGTAAAAGCTTCAACATCATCCCACAGCTGGTTGTAAAAGGTTTATGAACGAGTCATTTGCTGCACCTGTGCTGCTGATTGGTGGATGTTGAATCCTGGAATCGATTCCAGTTTATCCAGAGTTCCTCCCGTATGAGCCAAGCCCCGCCCACTGATCATAGGCACCTGACACACACACACCAGAGGGCTGTTTCACAAAACCAAGATAGCGGATTAAGCCAGGATTTTCAAGATACCGGCGCCTGCGTCACACACAGCCACCAATTGGCTCAGGGAATATCTGTGAAAATGCGTTTCAAACCAAACGCACAAGTCCGAAAGAGACGCAGTCTGTCCCGAGTTCGTTGGCCAACTTCTGAATTGAACCTCAAACTGGTGCTTGAGCGTTTACTGAATAACACACTGTGGTGAGTTAGTTTTTCTTGTGGTCTGTAGGCCGACATGATGATATTATCATATTATTTAATGCCATGACTTGACTCAAATTATCTTTCTCATTATTATTATTATTATTATTATTATAATTTGAGCAATCTTCTCCACCATAGCTCATAATAATAATTCTTCCTAATTCATCATAACATAAGAAAGAACTGTAGTTCTATCTAATGTTGTGTTGGTCAGACTAAACACTGATTTACTGCTTGTCCATTTTGAATAATACAGAAGGTAAAGAGCTTAAAATTTAATCGCATATTAAATCGAGAGAGAGAGAGAGAGAGAGAGAGAGGTCCACTGCTCACTTTTAAGGTCTGACATAACGTTATCATTCGTGGTAACATTATAATTATGACCGTTTCAGTCAGCGATACTTTTGGCTACTTCCTCATTCAGTTGGTTCCTCTATGTGTGCCACGCCTTTTCTCGCTGTTTTAATACTGCGGCCGTGTTTCTTTCTTCGTTTTTTATTTTAATATTGTGCATTTTTTCATCGTAAACCTTCTTTACACACAGTGAGTTTCCATTTCCGCATCAATGAATCTGCGATCGACGTGTGGTCTCTTGAAGAAAGTTGTCGACGTGCATTTATCTGAATTACGTACACCTGGCTTGACATAACCGCTTCTGCTGCGCCTGGTTCGGATGCACTGATCACACTAAGTCAAGCCCAGATTTTTCTGTTTCTAAATTCTGCTTTTGTGAAACAGCTCTCTGGGGTTATGATATCATGGCGTCAAAAACTGTGATTGGAGAAGTGTGTGTGTGTGTGTGTGTGTGTGTGTGTGTGTGTGTTTACACGTTTACCTTGCAGCCACAGGCAGCTAGCGCGGGCGCTAACACAAGGCTGACTTTATCTCCCACCCCTCCTGTTGAGTGTTTGTCAACCACCAGCCCCGCCCACTCCTCTGGCCATGACATAATTTCCCCCGATGACATCATCTCCCTGGTCAGCGTCTTTATCTCCGTGTCGATCATTCCCCTCTGCCAGATAGCCATCAGCATGGCCCCTTAACAAAGAAGAGGGAACATGACGTCAGGAACGTGTTTGTTTGTTTGTTTGTTTGTTCGAGAGAAACTGTTTGTACCTATCTGGCTTTCCTGGACGGTTTTGTTTGTGACAGCCTGGATGAAAGTTTGGATTTCTTCGTCACTCAGCGCTCCTCCATCTCTCTTCTTCCTGATCAGATCTGGGATCGACATCACGTCAGCCTGGAAACGAAATTAATTTATGAGCGTCCGTCAGATCGCACACTAGATTCAAGCTTCCAAAACTTTATTGGACTGTAAAACTGCAACGTTTTGTCCCAGTGAACAACATATAATAATAAAACGTGGGGAAATTCAAAACATCAGCAGTACAAGAACAGATGCAAATGAAAAACTAGTGTACATTATAAAGATCTAATGAGGCACAAAACACAATGATCATGTGACCCAGATGATCAAAAATTAAAATGGTTGCAAAAAGTTGTAGAAATCAGAAATTATAATACATTTTAAAAACATTTAAAACACTCGTACGTACAGCGAGGTCTATATCGCACGCTAGGTATTTTATGCCATAGCTCTCGATACACGATTTAAAACTTGTCTAGGTTTTATTTTTCAATTTTTTTTTACATTTTTGTTGAAAACATTTTAAGAGAATTGAAAATGGGATGTATACAGGGGGAACAAAATCAATATTTAAAATAAACATAATATTATTAACATTAAATGAAGAAAGAAAAATGTAATTAATTAAAAATATAAACCGAATACTGATCTGTGACCCAGTTAATACAATTTTAAAATAGTTGCATAAAGTTATATTATTAAAAAAATGTAAAACACACACGCTTATGTACAGTGGGGTTTACATTGTACGGTATCTTATGCTGTAACTCTTGACATGATTTAAACGTGTGTATTAGTATAAACACATTATGTTTAGTTTAAAAAAATATATTTTGTTAATAAAATCTAATAGAATTGAAAATATAAACATAAAAATAAAGTGACATAACAATAAATTTATAAAGTGTCTGAACCTGAATCTAGATGGTTTCTATAGTGAGAGCAAAGCTGGCTGCAGGAAAAAAGTCCCAAAGAAGTGGAATAAAAGAATCTTTAGTTAAAACATGTAAAAATGAGAAAGTTTGCCTGATTTTCTTATTCCTTCCTACCTTCAGGTCTAAACGTCTTTCTTCTTCTGTCTTCTTTGTAGTTAAACAGCGTTTCTCTCTGGAGGCTTCAGTCAGTCTGAGCAGTAAGGAAGTGATATTGTGTAATTTTATGTTTTACTGTTTCTTCACTCGATTGGTTGTGGAAACATTGTGGAGTTTCGGATGAAGTGATTCATGATGGAGACAGCACAGAGTTGCTTCATTAAAATGTCACTGGAAAAATTATGCAAGGTATTAAAGGCTGTCTCTGGTATTTCTCAACCTGGACCTTTTTGTACCAGGATGTGTCTATATGACTAATCATGACAACATTTTTTGAGTATTCTCTGAGCGGTCGGTAGCAGCGATACAGAGCTGCAACGTAATGCTTGTGGGAATCAAAGTACGTCCACTAAAGAGGGAATATTTTCTAATTGTAGGGTTTACACCTTTTGTTTGATGCTTCCTCAGCGGGGAGGCCAGAACTTCAGTTTACAACACAAAATAATGAACTAACATTATCAACAGACCGTTAAAGACATCAGTTTGCAGCACTGTACTTTTTTCCTCACATATTGTACATTTTAAATACATTTATATGCACAGAGGAATAACCTGATTACTGCACACAGATGCATGGCTATACTTATTAGTTGAGCATGGAAGAAAAAACTTTTTAGGGCTCTAACTTACTTTAAGTCAGATCAGTGGTACGTCTATAAACAAACATATTTTTCATTTCAAATTGCTTGAAAATGGTGTGTTTGGCAGCTGAAATATGAAAATATCCTCCCTTTACAGCCTGCCTCTCTGCCAGTAAAGTCAGTAAAGCTCAACTAAGTTGGGTTTTTAGACCTGTTCTGATATTTGCAGAGTTTTAATATTCGATATCCTGACATGTCGCCCAGTACTTCTCAGCATAGCTGAGCCCTAACGATCCAAACTCCATTCAGAAAATAAGCCTTTTAAAAGTTGTTTTGCTAACAGACCTGAAAAAGCATGACTTAAAATGTTTAACAAATTAACATCATGATGTAGTTATTTCTGCATCTGTTTGATCCCATTATACATTTACTTTGGCAGACGCTTTTATCCAAAGCGACGTACATCAACAAAGCATCTGACAATAGATACTAGTAAGAGCTAATAGCACATATAGCATCAATGGGTAAATACCAAGGGGAAGAAGTAAGAACACAGGAAGTGCATGTTAGAGGTGTAAGAATAAGAGATGAGTTTTCAGGAGCTTCTTGAAGTTAGAGAGGGACGCCCCTGCTCTGATGGCGTGTGGTAGCTCGTTCCACCATCGTGGTGTCACAGATGAGAACAGCCGGGACTGGGATTGCTTTGTGTGAAGGGACGGCAGAGCCAGGCGGCGTTCGTTGGAGGAGCGTAGCGGCCAAGAAGGAACGTAAGTTTGTATTATGGAGGTTAGGTAGATGGTGCAGATCCAGTAGTCACTCTGTATGCAGCATTAGTGACTTGAATTTGATTCTGGAGGCCACGAGGAGCCAGTGGAGGTCGGTGGAGGTCGGTGGAGGTCGGTGGAGGTCGGTGGAGGTCGGTGGAGGTCAGTGGAGGTCAGTGGAGGTCAGTAATTAGAACATATAAAGTAATTATTACAACTAAATCGCAGCAAGTTGTTTATGTTGGGTTTATACATCTGTAATACTTACGGGTTGTGTTTATTGGTGTTATTACTGCGTCGAATGTGTGAATAGTCCAGCGTGTTGTTTGTGAAACCGGCATTATAAGCTGTTGGATACCGATTTATCAGCAGTTTGTTCATAACGGCACGACGATTATCGGTCTAACTCTAAAAATCAGTTTTTCTTGTGCTTTGAATAGGATACCTTGTGTTCCTGTTTGAGAGACGAAGCCCACCCTAATGTGAAACCCTAACTCGCCCCTGGTGGTTAGCTCAGCTGCTTCAGAGCTACGAGTCCTAACGCCCTGGATATACTTGCTTTTAACTACGCGTACGCTTACGCAAGGTGGCCGCCACGCGTATCCCACGTTCCTTTGCAGCAGGGGGCAGTATGTCGATCTGACGGGCAGGTCAGCAGCGATCTCCTGTTCCACACACCAGCCCGGGTGGTGGCGAGATGCAGTTGGTTTGCCAACCGCCATTAAACGCAAAAGAAGAAGGTGGTCAGCAGCAGACTTTAAAAAAGGAGACTGATGGCGGGATGTTTACACTAAAACTCCTGGAGCTAGTCCACAATTACCGAGATCGTTATGATGTCTCATTAAAATCACAACCTGCTCGAGTGTCGCTGTGTTTGGTTTGTTTATGATGTGCAAATTCGGAGGTTGTCAAGGAAGATAATCCGGTGTCGGCGAAATACGATCTGGCCCTGATCTGCCCCCTAGTCAATTCAGATTTAATAAAGCACACTGGCAAGTATGTGAACAATGCCGTTTGCCTCGCCAACGCCTGTCTACGCCTGTCTACGGCTACGCATTGTCAAGCAAGTATATATCCAGGGCTTAAGAGTGTATTGCACTTTCAAAATCTTTGCACGCACATCTCTTGTTACTGTATTATAACAGTCAGTTTTAAGAAGCCGAGATGTTAACAAGTAAAATGCGACCGACACATTCTGTTCTTCCATTTTCCCTCTGTTGAACAAAAGTTACTGTAATGTTAGTTTTGAGACACATCAACGCTTCATGGGGGGGAATTAACTTAGGCCAGACTGAGTTGTTCAGCTGCTCATGTAAACGTGTGATAAAGTAATACCATGTCTAATTCCTCTCTTACTGTTGGTTCAATAAAAATGGGATTTTGCATACAGGCATACAACAAATACTTTAAAAAGGATCCTTACATGACAAAGTGGCTACTGTCTGAATTTAATAACCTGATTGCAGATGGAATACAATATTTGGAGTAACGATTACTATGTATGTGTGCAGGTATTCTTTATTAGATTATTAAAATATATTTATATATTACCTGTGGATACATGCTCATGTCTAGCCTATCCTACATTTAGGCAACATATACATATTTATTTAATTTATTAAAGCTAATAAATGCAAAAAGTTAAGTGGGTTAGGATACAGCAAATATAATAGAAATCATAAAATAGTTTTAGTTTAGGCGCCACCTTGGTGCCTAGATCTGCCAACAAATTGCTGTTGCCAGAAGAAAACTAACTCACCACCAACACTAGTGTTTTCCATAGCCAACCAAAATATCCCCTTTACTTTACCTCAAGTAAACGCTGCTAAAGTTAAGCAGGTAACAGTCATTAACAACAACTTACAGTTTGTCTCTGTATCACTCAGTATGCTGAATCAGTCCTTCACCACTCTGCTGGGTGAGTGTAGTAACGTTGCTCGGCAGCTCAGCAGAGCAGCGATGAAATGCAGCCTCCTTCAGGATCCCAGTGCCTGAGTAGGGATTTAATTTATGAAGCAGAGGAAACAACCGGAACGATTATTTATACAATAAACACAAATTAAATTTGTAGTATTCTATCATATTTATCAATATTTTTCAGTCATGTGATTGGCAAAGGACAAAAAAACAGGGAAATATACTGAGACCCTTAGGCTACTAACTTTCAGATTAGTTCAGCTGAAGTTAATAGATTATTTTTAATGAATAAGAGACAGCAGCAAAAGTCGTTGCCTGTTTAAGACTGTTAAAGAAACGGTTACATTATTCAGCTCTGATCAAACAGCTGATCAGTCTGTTGATAAACTGTAGGAGAAAAAGGTAAAGACACTTCAGCTCAGCGGAGAGCGAGCGGGCGCGCCAGAACTACCGCGACAGTTTCACGCGATTGCGCCCAGTAGTACACAGGAGCTGTTGCCATGGTTACCAACACCCATAGAGCGATGACTCCTGGAGCGCTCGTCTGGCCGTCCAGTTGCTGCGCTTCAATAAATTTCAGTCCAGAAATGTTCGCGGTTGAAATCGTTTTGCTGGTCGCACTAAGTTTATAACGGAAAATGTTCTTTGCATCTTAGACTGTAATAATGGCAGTAACGATTTACAGCTGTGGAAAGAATTCAGCTGTCATAAACAACATAAGGTCCGCTGACCTGCAGCACGTCATTTACCTCAGGAATGGTGCATCAGTAGCGCAATAACCCAGCGTTACTTGGAATAGTAACTGTAATAATATAACTGTTTTGGAAATGGCAATCCGTTACATTACTCTTTACTGTGTAAAGTAATTTTATTACAGTATTACTGCCCAACACGTTACGTAACACTGATGCGCGAGAGCGACTGGGGTTCAGACTGCACAAGCGTGGGATTGGGCAGCTTTGGACCTTAGCGTAGGAACATGTTAAGGTAGCTTCAGCCCCCCCTGAAATTGGCCTAACAACGTCCATGGTCACAATGCTATGAACTGTGGGTAATTCCCTCAGGCAAAGTCTGCAGAGCTGTGGGCTCACGTAAAGGTGCATAGAGGGCTCAGAAAGTCTGAGAGAGAGCCCTCATGCACCTGGCAATTTACTTTCCCGTAGGGAAGATGCAAGACTAAAATACATTAAATACTGAATCTTGCAGACTCTGGTTGCACAACAGTGGAATAAAGTGCTAAATTTAAGAGTGTGGATTTTGGGATTCACCTATATGTGTGAAGAGGTGTTTATCAGCACTAAACAGGGTAGAGAAGCATAACTGTTACACAGCGGCGCTAAATGCGAAGATAATTGCCCCTAGTGGGATTAACAGTTCGTTGATTGATTTATATTTTTACATCTGATGTTTCTGGATTAATATTCCTGCTGCATTGATGTGTTTGTTGCATTTTACTGCTGAAGATGTTTAAGGTTGAGCTTATTTTAACTCATTTTATATCCTGTTGGGTAGTTTAATCTGCAGCAATGCATCATGGTCTAAAAGATCATCATGTGTTTGTAGCGTCGCTGTCCTGTGAGAACCGCGTGTCTCTAAACAGTCAGAAAAACAGCCTGTTTGCAGCTTTGTGACGACGAATCAAGGAGGTTTAAAGAGTTTAATTAAGCTGGAGGAGGAGGAGGAACTGGAATCTGGAAAGTAACAAATGTAGTGGAGTACAAAGTACAATATTTGTACTCTGATTTGTAGCGGAGTAGAAGTATTAAGCTGCATAAAATGGAAATACTTAAGTAAAGTGCAAGTACTTGAATAAATGTAAGTAATTAAATTCCACCACCGAAAATGAAACCACAGAAACTGGCTGAGCAACATAATGTGATTTAATGATGCACACACACAAATGTATTTTTGTCTCTTAGCAGTCACATTTCTAACACCGACCCTCGACCTCAGTGAAACACCAACTCTCTGTATGTAAATCTTTAACTTGAAGATGTCGCAACATCAGGACTACACACACTCACACACAGAGGGTAGCGTACCTGTTCTGGAGTTTTCAGTCCATGAAGTGCAGTCGACCCTGCGGCTCATCATAAAGCAGCCCCAGGTTAACAGTTCACCGGCCAATGAGAGAGCCGGGAGGAGGAGATAATCAGCCAGTGAGCACCAATAAAAATCCACTAAAACTCCCCAGTCATGTTGAAGTTCACGTCCTCCTGCAGGTCTTTATCTCTGTGTGTGTGTTTTCCATGTTGACATTAGAAGCATGTGTCCCATCGCGCTGCATTTATCTCCAGATTTCAAGTACTTTTAGTACAGAAGCCGACAGCGGGCACGTTGTCTGTCACCTGTTGAGGTCGTGTGGCGGAGGATTGGTGCCGAAATCCGTTTTACCGTAACTGATATTCTGCATAATTAATACTTTTAAACTTTAACTGCATTTTTCTGATAATACTTTTGTATTTAAGTATCATTTTGAATGCAGGACTTTTACTCTTAATGGAGTAGTTTTTAGACTGCTTTTTTCTGCTTTTACTTTAGAATACTACTTTTCAGGTTCATACTTGTATTTATAAAACGTTTACATACTTGAACATTTAAAAAACACATTTATGTTTCTCATCCTGTGCGTTGCTTCAGCTCTTCTTGTCACCCTCTTTCTGAACACTCAGTTTTAGCTCCTGTCTCTTTAAGGACCAACTCCCTCCCCGAAAGCCCGCTTGCTTCAAATAGGCCAACTTCCCGAGCACAGCGGAGGGGCGGGGCCTAGCTGCACAGCGCTGTATTCGGCTGAATCGAGCAATATTATATAGCTGCAGTACCAGACGCTGCAGTTTCAGGACCCCCGCAATCCTGGGACCGCAGTCCTTTAGCGACAGCGCCATCTACCGGAGTGGTGGAGGTAATGCACAGCAACACACAAGGAGGTTAACCCTGTCTGCCGTGAGGCCGATGTGTGCAGCTGTAGGGTTAACAGGTGGACATGCATATAATCAGTAACTTAGGTAACTTAGGGTAACTGGCTTCCGGGTTGGCTGTCAAGAGTAACTAGTTAACTTGCAAGCCAGCAGTATCAAAATAAACAAGGGTCCCAGAAATGCAGTTCCTGTCCTAGAATTGTGGTCCTGAATCTGCAGCCTCCGGTTCTTGCAGCTACGTACTACTCGAATCAAGGCCTGTAATGTGAGACTAGGCCTCACTGATTACTGTACAAAAGCAACTTTATTTTCTGGTTTTACTGAAACTGGATCAGATTTGATGGAGAAAATCTGATCCTCTGATGTCCTCCGGCTGCTCTGCCTCCACTTTTGGTGATTTAAGGAATTTGTATGTTACGAGTTACTAACAGCAGCTACTGCTAGCTACTTAGTTAGCTGTGCAGCTAGCTGTCTTGCTGATTCTGCCTGAACTGGAGGCTTGGTGCTTGTTGGTGTTTACAACTCTAACATTAGTACGATTTGGTTCGGAGCCACTGTTAGCAGCAGCTAGCGGTTACTGTAGTGTTAGCAACAAGTAAAGCTATCTGTCCATCATGACACTTCATAAATCACTATTAAGGCAGAGCAGCTGAAAAGGAGAAAATATTTACTTTCCTTCAGAACCATAAAAGCTCTTTCTGTGAAAAACTGATCAACCTCCAGCTCTATTCATAGTTTTCAGTCACGTTTCGTGCGCGGTGACCTGGAGGGCAAAACAACAGACCAAGATCGCGGCTCACTCCAGACTCCTTTTGTAGATACGCTGCAAAGGCAGTTAAATTTTATTTGGATCACCTCTCAACTCAAGAAGACGATAGCTATGGACACAAACTGCAGGTGTTGGGCACTTGTGATCCATATACAGCACCCGCTGGTTAAAAACCACCAGGTCCCTGCCAGCGCTCGACTGTGGTAATGTTTACCTTGTAGGGAATCACCTAACACATCCCAGGCTTGTCTCCTCGTCAGTTAGTGCATCCGAAAGCACAACAACCATCGCATGAAAGTAACAAACTCAAAGTAACAGTGTTACACGTGCTGCCTTGTTGGCGGGCAGCGGAAAATAACGTCTTTTAATTTCCCTCCACACCTGTGAGGTGGATGGATTATCTCGGTAAAGGAGAAGTGCTCACTAACCCAGATTTGTGAACAATATTTGAGAGAAATAGGACTTTCGTGTACATAGAGAAAGTCTTAGATCTTTGAGTTCAGCTCATGATGAATGGGGGCAAAAACAAAAGTGTTGCGTTGATAATTTTGTTCAGTGTAACAGAAATATTAACTTCATTTATCCCCCAGGGATAAATTTAGTGCAGTGTTATTAATAACTGAAATGCTCCTGATGTTTGTTAGTGTTTTACACCAACAACAACATTTTCTCAACACGGACAGGAGGAGGCAACAGGATGTAACATTAAATGTTCAGTGACTGAAGGTCTTCAGAGGACCACGTTCTTCCATTAAGGCCCTTTCAGAAAAGCTGCCGTGACATTGAAAATAATGGGCCTCACAGCGCAGCGGTGCTGTCGTTGCGGTGGGTCTGAAAGTTTACATGCTGCTTTGTTGTTGCACTGAAAGCTCGACTCTCGCCGCTCGATTGTAAGGGACACATTGATATTTAATTCCCTACCGACTTGCCACGTTATTTAACTCCGTTATTATGCGTTGCCTTTACTTGGGCGTGCAAAGCTGGGTGCTGGTCCCGCAGGTGCTGCATCAAGTTTAATGTATGTTTTCGCTCCTTTAGCAGCAACCTTTAACGGCATGTTTTTGAACAGGCGAGCCGTCATCTTCAGTAACGCCCTGGTCAGTCTCGGTGTACCCAAAATGCTCCCACACTGCCGACTTCAGCCGTTTTGTTGGTGGAAATGAAGCTTGACAGTTGGTCCCTCTGCCAGAGTTTAGCCAGTGGCCTCTGATAATCACGGTACTTTAAGCTGGCGTACTGCTCGTGTAACTTTGTCTTGTGAAACAGAAACACTCGGTGTAGCGGAGCCTTTACGATTAATTAACTGTGACGTTTTAAAACGTGGTTCATAATGAAATCCGGTAATCGCTGCATCCCTATTCATAAAAGTCATCGTCCACGCGATTCAGTGCGAGTGTGTCGTCTTTCCCTTTGAATGTAAATGAGTTACAAGGTGTTACTATCTCTAAGTTGAGGTGAAACTTGTCAGTCATTAACTCGAGGTCAGAGGTCATATATCTGTTGACTAACCTGACCGCTCTTATTGTGAAAAAACCACACGTGAAGGCCGAGCGTTAACTTTGTATTAAATGACAGTTTATTATAAAGATTACAATCTGTTGCGTTGCAGAGCTCATCAGTTGTCATTGTGTGCTCTTTTCAGTTTCTAGAAAAGGGAAGAAAAAAAAACTACAAGTATACACACACCACTCACTCCAGAACTACAAACATACTGTAAAAAGAGGAAGCTAGAAAGGAGGAAGAGGAGGGTAACCATAAAACCATTTATAACCAAGTGACTATCAGGAGGAGGAAGGTTTCACACGCAAGTTAGAAAGCCAGGATTCTCAGCCAATCAGCAGGAAGCTGATGCGTTATTACGATATCCAGCGGCAGCCATTTTGGCTCTTTATTCCATCTTTTTATAGCATCGTCCTGGTTCTCTCCTGTCGCCGTGTTAGCCTTTCGTCAAACTGAACGGCCGTTTTGTCTCCAGACTTTCAGGCTATGATTGCTTTCGTATTAGCAGCAGTGGAAGAAGTATTCAAATGATTTACTTGAGTAACAGAAGCAATACCACAGAGAATAAAAATACTCAATTACAAGTGAAAATCCTGCGTTTGAAATTTCACTTAAAAGCACAGAAGTATTGGTATCAAAAGTAAAAGTACTCACAATGCAGAGTGTCAGTGTTATACTATTATATTGTTGATGTAGTAATATGCAAGCTTTACTTTCAGTGTTATAGTTGGAGCTTATTTAAACTACCTCATATACTTTTAGTAGTTTAATCTGTAACAATGGATCATATTTTATAAGATGGGGATTTGTTTTTTTTGTAAAATCTTAATTTGAAAAGTAACTAACTAAACGGTGAAGTAAAAAATATTTATCTCTGAAATGTAGTGGAGCATTAAGTAGTATAAAATGGAAATACTCAAGTAAAATACCCCAAAATTGTACTGAAGTACAATACTTGAGTAAATGTACTCAGTTACCTTCCACCACTGCTAATTAGCCACATTTTTATTTTCTTGGGGGAGAATTTCCAAAACAAATCGCTAGTGATTTGTAAGAACGTAATTTTCAGCTGTTGCGTTAGCTTAAATTACACCAAGACGTCTAGTTGATATTGAGAATGTGAAGCTGAAATAAATCAATGTTAGTGTCCTAATAGGGGGAAATAATGGACAAGATTATATGATGCAAATTGGTGGCTTTAGTTAGCATCAGTGCTTTGTGTGAAACTAACAATGATTTTGATTGTTAATTGATGTCCATTTAAATAGTTCTAAATGTGTAGCTAGCTTTAGCCGCTAACTAGCATACATGCTATGGCTGAGCCTGTAGGTAACTGAGAGGATAGCAGCTTTTTTTTGGGGTCATGTTGATTCAGAACTACAAAAATCAGCCGAAAACAAAAAATAAGAAATAACACAGCAGTTAATGTGGAACCAGATGAGCGTATTTTCATATATCAGGACACCTGACACGTTATTGTGGTTATTTGACGGCTGCCTACCGAACAAAAAGGGATGTCGCTGGTTCTGGAAATATTTTTCCTCATTCTGAATTCCTGTTTAAAGTTTTTCTTTTTAATAGTATCCTCAGTATTCTGCAACATGGATACACAAGGGCCTAACATAACAGTGCTGTAGGTTAGTTATGCTCATCACTTTTAGTTATTTAAATTCTGAATTATTTTGTTTCTCTAAAGGTAAAAAAAAAAACGCGTTCATTTAAGCTGCAGAAATGCAAACTTTAGCCTGACAGAACTTTAAACTCTTCTGTAGTTCTGTTTTTCTATCCACAGACTTTTGACTTTTTATCAGATAAAATTTTTGGATTATTTTTCGGACACAGTTGTTCATCATCTGTTGCACTGATGATTCAGACAGGAGAGTTTACATATCCATTCAGGACTAAAAGTACTCAAACTTTCTGTTGCATAACATTGTCTATAAGAAAAATTAACGGGAATTTTCCTTCGGAACCAGCGACAACCCGAAACAACTTCCCTTTTTGCAACGCAATAGTCTGGCGCTATGTAGACAATAGAAGTAGTCCAGTTATGGTAGCATAGTTGTGAGACTCCAGGGAGTTGATGTGTCTCCTGAAACACGTCTCTAATGTGACAGATGTGCGTTGCCCCTAATTATAATTTTAGAGAGAATTGAAACGGTACTGGAACTAAAGCTGAAGCGATCTCGACAAAATGGATGCAGTTTAGAGGAAGATGGCAACAAAAAACTAGGTCTCCAGGCAGAACTAGACTCATGTTCTCTGCTGAATAAACTTAGATTAATTTATTAATCTTCATCAGAACGTCTTTGTATCTGAACAATCTGATTGGTGACAGAAGGCAGAGCTCTAAGGAAAAATAAAGAAGGAACTACTTCAACATCACTGAGATTTTAGCAGCAGGTTTGCTGGTTATGTTTCTGATTGGCTGAGAAATCCTACAACAAGTGAATGACCTCATATCTATACAAGTGTACAGAGGGATTCCCAGTGGGGACCTGAGGTCAGAGGTTAAGAGGTCACATGACCTCTCCATCACTGATTTTCATTGTTACACTGCGAAGAAAGCGACAGCCCACGTCTCATTCTGTGGATGACTGTACAGTAGACCATAGTCCATTATAATATATACATGTGATATTCACGCAGTGTAAACAGCCACGCAGGCACTTCCTCTTTACCTGTTCTGAAGATACAAGACTACTAAAAATATGTTTGTGGTAAGGTTTTATTGGAACAGTCCAGTCCTGTGTGGAAGGCTATGTAATGAAGGCATCAGTAGGCTTTAGGCGAAGTCGGATCATTGAAGGGTGTCTGAAACCTCCTTCGTCTACACCTGGGGGAGGGGGCGCTACTAAGTTTGGGTATGTATGCCGAGGTTTGCAAGTAAGCAAGGTTTGAACTTCTATACGTACGATTCGTCGCACCTTGCCCGTCTCTATGGCGGCGGGTTTTTTGGCCAGCGTTGTCATTTGGAACCAGGGTTGGGTGATGTCTACAAAATTGGCATCTGTCGTCTTATAACATATGGTAAAAAAACTCGGTATTACTCTACACTGCGCAGAGACGGTGGATATTTTAGAAGCACGGACCAGATAAAGAAACAGTGCAGGTGTCATTCGGTACCACGTTGGTTTTGATCGTCTTCTACAACAACACTCCCAATGCCGGCTCCACATTGTGATTTAGGATGGCGTCTTCGATCAGCCCAAACCTATTTGGAACATCTACAAGCACCTTTGCCTTGATTATTAAGTGGTTGAACAGCACTTTGGACAAACAAGTTAGTTTGAAATATATTATTAACATGAGCATGCTTAATCAACTGTATCAATTATTTTAGGGTGTTAACTAACTTAAGAACCCCTAATAGTTTAAATACGCTCCCAGAGGACAGTGAGACGGTACTTGATTGCTCTTGAGTTTCTTTTCAGCCACGTTTTCAGTCATCTGTCTCGGCTTTAGCGTTTCACTGAGCTGTTAGGCGACCGTTATTGTCAGCGCACAGTTCCTGTTAGTTTAAATTACATTAAACTTTATTATCACTGAAGTACAAGTAGAGTACAATAGTTTAGAGGACGGAGTAATTTTACTGTTAACCTCACTATTGTTGTTATGCAGTGAAAACGTTCTAGTGCTGATGTCTATGTTCTAGTGCTGTTTTCAGTTTGAACGCCTGGTCACTGTGCTCCAGTTGCTCGGATGTTCTCTTACCTGCTGTATGAAACTAGGGTTCTAAGAATTATGGATGACGGCAAAAGACCTTGATTTCCACCGTCGAAGGGTGATCAGGGCCAATGAAACAAAAACAGGGTTAGGTTCTGTAACCGGGTAACAGACCCAATAAAGGTGATTACAGCTCTTTGAGTTTCACATATTTATAACTTGAGTTACTTGCAAATGTTGAAAGCTTAACCTAACTAGATTTCGGATTAGGAATAGGGCTGGGAATCACCAGAGGCTCCACGATACGATATTACCGCGATACGATATTATTGCGATTTTAAATGCATTGCGATGTATTGGAATTTATTACCTTTTTTCCAACTTTAAATTGTGTTCCCAAAGGAAAACTCTTTTTCTAGTGGACTGAAAAAGCAATTGATTTTATTATTATAGTACCAAAAAGTAAAATTCTCATGTACAATTTACATAATAAAAGACCGATACACTATTGCCACAGAAAATATCGCGATACTATGCTGCATCGATTTTCTTCCACTCACCCCTAATTAGGAAGTTGAGAATTAATAAGCAGATTCAGATTCCCACTGCTGGGATTTGATCTCTGTTTTCTGTCTTGATGGGGTGTTGCCAGGGTCGGACTGAACAGGACATGTAAAGACTGGGTACTAATTATGATTATGATTAAATGACTGTAGATGTAATTTATTAAATCATGCAAGTGGATTTAGTGTGAAGTTACTCTTTAAACATAAACTCTTCCACTTTCAATTGTGAATCTTTATTTCCATTTTGTGCCAAAACAGCATTTTGTTTGAAGTTAAACAGCTGACGTGTCGATGTTTACAAAGGATGAATATCACATATGGCAAAAGACTTTATAGACTACAGTCTACCAAAATATTACTGTATACATTTTATTGTCTACTATACTTTATATATTACACTATAGCTACATTATTTTACCATAATATATATTATACAGACTATAAAGTCTACTGTAATGTGCGGTACATAGACTATACATTCTATAGCTCTGTGCTCTGCCATGGGCAGCTAATACTTTTCCCCCATTAAAGGGCACCACGAACTTGTACAACTTTGGGATTCATGATTGTAGCTCGGCTTGTGTTCAGGTACTTGAATTGGATAAAAATCTGTATAAACGCTGTAGATTTGTTGTTGTGGAAACAGGCACTGTGACGTTGATTGTGCTTCAGAGGGGAATGAAGAGGTGGAACGGTAACATATCGGGTTGAATTAGTGTACGTTTACAGTGTGAAATTATTATTATTATTATTATTAAGAAAAGTAGCAGTAATGGTCTCACTCAAAGCGCTGTTAAAGTCAGCAGTTCATCATTAATGTTTTTCCCAGTTTAAGGGAAACAAAGTGAGAGAAATGCACCTTCCAGTGACTCCAGTGATGTCTTACTATGTGTTGCATCTTGTTTATTGTACAGTGTTAGAAAGGCAATGAAATAAAAACAAGACATTGTGGTGTTAGCAGCAGTTAGCGTTGTCCTTATGATGCATTTGAGCTCTGTCCTTGCTCAGCTGGATATATTGGTGAGTAGCTTGCTGGCTAACAAGATACAACATGTAAATCAGACAGCTGTGCTACTGGAAGGTGTATTTTTATCATTTTTATAAAGCTAGGCTAGCAGTTTCCCCCTGCTTCTCGCCTTTGTGCTAGGCTAGGCTAAACACGTTCTGTACCTCGCTCTTTACTGGACGCACAAATACAAGTCTTATCTATGTCTGGGTAAAATGGTGAAAGGAGGGACAGAGTTGTGCTCATTAATGTTGATTATGGTCAGACCGAAGACCTTTGCTTGACATTTTTGTCGTGTTTGTGGTGATCTAAGCACAAATTGCATCAGCTAGCATGGCTGGCACTAGCAATAGCATTCCACAAACAGTAAAGCATAGAGCTAGTGTTTTATTGTAGGGCTGGGCGTTATATCAAATTAATTGAATAAGTTTGTACTTTTTGTTTTTGCACAAAAAGTAACAGAAGATACAAACAGCAGACTTTCTGCTGAAACTGAGCATGTGGCACTCTCAGTCTGCAGATGTCTGGTTTAACCTGTATTTGCTGAATAACGGTGAACGCCTTTCAGGTGTAGGTCTTCTATAATGCTTGCTTAACTATCTTACACATGAAGAATGCAAATTTTCAATCATGTTTTAGACTTTCTGCAGTTTCAAGGTTAAATAAAGGCTGATGAATCTTACATAAATGCTGTTTTAGTATGTTTGTTTTTATTTGTTTTATGACACAAATTGTCAGGTGTAGCTTTATATTGTTTTTTGTCTGTGTTATATTTAGTCTACTCTCTACTTTTGTTTTATGTATATTGTATGATTTTAAGTGATTGATTGTTACTTTGCTTGGACCCCAGGAAGACAAGCAACCACTTTGTAGAAGCTAATAGGGATCTAAGAAGAGTAAAGAATGGCATGAAGAATGCAAAGATTCAATCATGTTTCAGACTCGAGCTTGAAATGAAATCTTGGCCAAATCGCCCAGCCCTACTTGAATGTCTTTAACCTCTATAATTGTTCTTGGACTTGCAGAAGAGCAGCATTCTCTCTTCTCTGATAGAAGCAAATATGTCTTGTTATTTATTGAAATTAATGGAGACTGAATTTCGGTGTGACTGCATCTTAACCCTTAAACACAAATTTTGAAACTTTACACGGATGCACGGTAAACTTTAATTGGACACCTCCCTTTTATGTTTTTAAACTCTATATGGCCTCAGGGAAACTCTACATATGGTCTGGAGAGAACTCCACGTATGGCAGGGACGAAATCCCCAATATGGCAGGGAGGAAACTCCACATATGGCCTGTTCCTGGCAAGGTACCATTACTGCAAGATGGTTATGGCAGGTTCAGCCGCGTTTGATTAATTTAGGAATAACACATTAGAGTTTCAGGCGTTAAGAAGGTATAGGAGGGGAAGGAGAACGGTATTTTCTGTACAGATGGCTTTAAACAGATAGCACCATGTACAGTAAGCCCTCGATAAGCAGGTTAGAAACCAGAGAGGTTTACAGTTGGAGCTCTGCTGCAGCTCTCCCTGAAACACACATCACATCAGCACAAAGTCACTCATTGACAAATCATTATGAATTTCAAAACATCACCGAAACGACCTTGAAATTCAACTCATTGTCAAATCATAAAGAACTCAAAACCATTTTCCAAACTATTATAAACTCTGTAAATCATCACCACCACATTATTATTACTTGTTATTCATAAATTCTAAATGATCGGTATTAAGATATGAACTCAAAATAAACACAAAATTCTTCATGAGTGATATTTGGAAGAGGAAAAAAAAAAAAAAAGCTAAGTCACAAAAACTTTCTGTAAAAGGACGGAGAAATATCCCCAGCTAATCTCCTGTTGTTAAGGTAGAGACTCCCAGTGGCTCGCTAATCGTCCAGCTCTGCTAGCAAAATTCCAGCTAAACGGCGTAATGTAATCAGTTTGTCAGATCAGCTCTTTGATCAATGTCCCTTCACATGTTGAGATTTGCAGAAGAGCTCCAGCTGCAATTAGCTTTAACAGGGTCTGAGATATTCCTCTGTATTTTCAGGTAATCTAGGGCTGGGAAATAAAACTTATAATTATCGCAATATATTTTTCCTCAATAACAATCTAACAAATGTTCAATAAATGTTTGATTTAATTCATTTAAATCACAAACAAATATATTATTTAGATATTTATTTGGTTGAGGAAGAGGGGCTGAAAAAAATCATAATTATTTTGAATGTTCTGCCTCAGTTTTGTGAAGTGATCCACTGTTTGGCATAGAGTGTGAGAGTTTGAGTGAAAGGAAAAGCACATACAAAGAAGAATCACAATAATATTCTAACCTGGACTCCTTATCGTAGTAGAGCTACTGTGAATTCAGAGATGCACAAATTTACTTGTCCCCCCTCTACAGTAAAGTGGTTGTCGCTGTAACGTCATTTCGCATCTTTGCCGGAATCAAATTTTTGTGTTGTGGAGGTCGGTGTTTTTTACTGCAAAACCTGGAAATGACAAATTTGGTAGTGTTTGTTTTTGTTCTTATGACTTAAACAATGTTGATAGAATTCAAATAAAACTAAAGACACTGGACACAGACCTTGGCGCTACCGGTCCTTTTGGGTTGATCAAAGAGCTGATAAGCCAAAATGTCACCGAGATCACTCGGAGAGCTGGGTTCCACGTTGGTAAAAAGGTCTAAAGATTCAGTCACTGCTAAGATATCCTAGTCAAAGAGATGGCCTAGTGTCTGACCGGAGGTCAGGAGTAATGAGGTCACAGTTCAGGATGTCTAGAGGTTTGTGGTCAGAGGTGAGGGGTCAAGTGGAACCATCCAGCAGCTGTCTGAGTGCCCTCTCGATGTTGATTCGGTGTCCCAGTCTGGTGACGCCTAGCTCCACGTAGTCGTCTTTGGTGAGGGCGGGGAGATGGGAGCCTTCGATCTCGTGCTCCTGGAAGCGCTGGCGGTGTTCGGCCAGGCCCACGCTCTCCAGCCAGTCACCCACGTCATATTTATTCCACAGGCTGAGGGGCCGCTGCCTCCATGGCCGTAGGGCCAACAGGGGCCCGCTGAGGACCGGGGAGGGGCAGGGAGAGGCGTGGGGTGAAGGGGAGGGTGACCGGGACCTGGTTCGTGCACTGGCACTTCGCATCACAAACCGAACCTCCTTTGGTTCTGAGGGGAGACTGAGACTGGACGACTTCAGGATGGTTAGACTGCGACCCGAGCTCAGGTCTGGCCTTTCAGGGCAGGACGAGGCAAGCCCTATTGACCTATCAGATGGGGAGGGAGACGGGGAGGGGCTCCGGCGGGTGACAGGGTAGCGGCTTCCTGGTCGGACTGTATAGCTGGCGCCATATCCTCGCTGGGAGATGGTGTGGAGTTCACCGAGACTAGAGAACAACCTGAAACACATGAAACAGTATATAAACGTCATAAACCTGACATACCACAGTTATCAGTTGATGTGTCTCCATGTAGTTACTGATTGACTATTCGCTAAGCCCCACTCCCCTCAGTTACTGTTGTTAAACTGTCCATTCTTACAAGGGACAAGCAGTTTACGATTATAACCAAAAACTTGGTCTCCTGATTTGTCTCTGTGAAAAAAAGCCTTAAATATTCCTTTTGATGGTTACATACATAATATCATGCTAAGAGACGGAGGCTAAAACTAATGTGTCTTGGGGAAAAAGTGATTATTCTCACCAGTTAATGATCCATGTAGAAGACATGGAAATAAAGCGGCATCATTGTTTTTCTATAGAAAACACGTCAGATCATATTATTATATCATTCTAAGAAAACTCTGTTTAGATTCTTGGCTTACTATAAAACATAGTCATACGTTTGATTTGTGCTAAGGTACTACTATAAGTAGGTAGGTAGGTAGGTTTAATGTCAAAATATAACAAGTTATAGAGTGAAATTGAGTTTTGTAACTCCCTTCTACTACATAGACAATTTACATTAATAAAGAATCGATTTATGAAAAATGTTAAACCGAAATACACTGTCATAATAGGATCAGTGCTGAGGATGAATTAGAGTTTAAGAGTCTGATACTTTATTCTGATATGCTAATGTTTGCAGCTTATGAACACTGTTTAACCTATTTCTTGTACTTATACTCGTGTTTTTGGTTTTGGAAAGGTTAACAAAAAAGACACCACCTCTTTCCAGATCAAATATTGCTATTACGAGAGCGCCATGCATACCACATGTTGATGTATAAAATTTTATATTCTATAATATTGACAGGCCTTGTTACGGATGCTAAGCTAGTATGGGACAATCTCTTTTTAGGTGGAAGTGCTAATGGTTATTTTCGATACGGATGAGATAGTCATTTTAGACATTTAGCAGTTAGTCATCTGCGAAGAAGGTGCATGTTAGTTAGTTAGCTGTTAGCTGTATTGAAATCATCTCTTGGCGATAACGAGAAATGTTTACCAGAGAGAAAAACCTACGATTTACTCTCTTCACTGTCCACACATCTGGAACAACACAAACAATAGATTCTGTTACCACACAAACCCACAGTAGTACTATTAGGTCAGCAGCACTGCAGTATTTGCAATATAATATAAGTTTGATGTACCTGGCACCTCCTACTGGTGACCTCCGGCCTGGATCGAGGGGACTCGGTTCCTCCCCCAGAGAGTGACTGTCTTTGTTGAGCAGCTGTAGCCGATTAGCAAGATCCAGTCCAGACCCTGCCCTGCCGCTCAGCTCAAGTGCTGACGCCGACCGGCTGGTCAGATCCACGGCTGACCCCGACCCCTGACCTCCCAGTGCTGCTGGACGGCCTCCTCCTTCCTCGGGGCTGAGGCCCCGCCGCTCCTCCCCGCGGTCGTCCCCACCCCCCCACAGCTTGGACCTCCTCTGGAACAGATAGCGTGGCTGTCGGCCACCGCCGGTTGGGGACGAACAGAGTGGGGAGGAGGGAGAGGAGGAGGAAGCAGCAGATGGGAGGAGCTCACTGTCTGATGATTGCTTCAGCAGTGGGTCCCGAAGAGCAGAGCGGCCCCGACCAATAGGTGAACGAAGACGCGGCTTAAGTGCAATTGGGGAGGTGGAGGGGGAGGAGGGGGAAGGGTGAGCAGCAGGAGGGGAGGAGGGGGAGGATGGAGCAGGAGGGGAGGCCAAGGTTATGGAGGGAGGGAGTGAGCTGGGGGAGGAGGAGCTGTCGTGAAGCCGTTCGTCACCTCCTTCCTCCTCATCTCCTCTTCGACCCAGGGAGTCGGGACCACTTTCTCCTCCCCCTCCCTCCCCACTTCTTCTTGGCAACAAGGTGAGAGAGGAAGGGGGAGGAGGGGCGGGAGGACCGGCAAAGGCAGGGGGTGGAGCTACCAGGCCGATTCTGCGGAGCTCCTCCCTAGTCTCCTCATCACTGGATGACAACAACGCCGGTGGGAGTGTAACTGTGTAAGCCCCTCCCTCCTCCTCTGAGCTGCCCACTGTGAGGCTTCTGCGTCTGTCAATCAAAGCAGAGTGACCTTCACTGGCCAGTGATGGCACGGCGGTGGGTCTCCAGCGCTCAGGGGAGGGGCCGGCAGGTGATGTCACTCCTCCCTCTGTCTCTGGACGCTCCACCTGTCCGTCAGGGAACAAAGGTGGGGTTATGCGTTTATGCCTTAGCTCAGGGCTGGTCTGGGGAGTGGTGCGCTTGGTTCGCTGCTCGGGGCTTGTTTGAGGAGTGGTGCGTTTCGATCGTGGCTCAGGGCTGCTCTGCGGGGTGGTGAGGGGGGTGCGCTTGTGTCTGCCCTCGGGGCTGGCAGCTGGGGTGGGGATGGGTGTAGTGGAGGCAGATGCATGTTTTAGTCGAGGCTCAGGGCTCGGCGTGCGGGCAGTGAGCGCTCGTTCTCGTGCAGCAAGAGCCAAGGCGAGTGGAGATGAGGGGTCTGAGGAGAGAAGAAAAGATAGTGTTGTTGGAGCCGCTGACACTGCTCTCGAATGGGTTATCTAGGACCTATTATGCAACAGTTTACTGTTCTTTATGGTAATTTCACATTGTCTGCTGCCCTTCTGAACTGTGTAGTACCTAAAGGCTCTGTCCTGGGTCCCCTTCTGTTTTGTGGAGTACCTCAAGGCTCTGTTCTAGGCCCTCCTCTGTTTTGTGAATTATCTTGAGGCTCTTGGACCTTCCTCTATTTTGTGGAGTACCTCGAGGCTTCGTCCTTAGCCCTCCTCTTTTTTGTAGAGTACCTCAAGGCTTCTTCCTAAGCCCTCCTCTTTTTTGTGGAGTACCTCAAAGCTCTGTCCTGGGCCCTCCTCTATTTTGTGGAGTACCTCGAAGCTCCGTCCTAAGCCCTCCTCTTTTTTGTAGAGTACCTCAAGGCTTCTTCCTAAGCCCTCCTCTTTTTTGTGGAGTACCTCGAAGCTCTGTCCTGGGCCCTCCTCTATTTTGTGGAGTACACCAAGGCTCTGTCCTAGGCTTTTATTGGATTACCTTGAGGGTAGGCTCCTTTCTTATCTGTGTCTACATCTGGCATTTCTTTTCACTGCTATGCCGATGACACGTAACTTTTATGTATCTTTCAAATCAGGAACGAGCAGTAATCTGATGTCGTTAAGGAACTGTCTGACATCAAATGTTGTATTATACTTTCTTCCAAAGCAATGGAGAAAAAGCTGAAATAATTTGGGACCTTAAAATAAATACATTACATAACCTGGTACCTATTATTAAGCCTAGTGCTAACAGTTTAGGAGTTATCCTTGATTCCAATCTTACTTGGTGGTGATAAAGCACTGCTGACCTGTTTTCCTCAATCCCTGATTTGGATCAAGTTAATGCTTTAGTCTTTCCCAGAATGGATTATTTTAACTTTATTTATAGAATACAGCCAGACTCTCAATAAGATCAAACGAGAGATCAGAAAAGCTTGTGCTGTCAGTCTGACCTAGCGGTTTCCCCGTCAGTGGGTGGAGGAAGGTGTGAGGTGTCGGTGAGGGAGACAGGACCGGGGCTGGAGGGGGAAGCTCGCCGAGGTCGTCCATTGAATGGCTCTGAGTCAGGAGGGGTGGCACTTGGTTTTCTGACCCGGATCCCTCTACAGACAGGAAGAGAGATGACCTGCGGCCCTGAACCCGGGCTCGCTCTGAAAGAACCTGCTGCTGGTACAGCTCCGCCCTACTGGGGCTGCAGGGTGGCTCTAATTTGGACGGATCATGTCCTAGATTAAGAAAAAGACAAAAACATGGAGTCAGACTGATAGGATTTCCAATCAGGAGCCCACGTGATATATTTGTATCTCAATGCTAAGCAAGTAATGGGACATTTTCAGCACATGGAAAATGTTTTTTTGCAAGCACATACATTTTATTTTGTGGAGCAATAATCATCAAGTAAATAATAATTTAATTTGAGCAAACAAAAATCAGCACATTGAGGCCATGCATAAGTAGTTTGTACAGTTTTGAAAAATTCCAGTCATAAGTTAGTCTGTACCTTTTTAGCTCACAAACTAGACATCGGGGTAGGTTGCTAGCTAACTAAGCTACACAGCTAGGGCATTAAAAAGATTAATGTAGTTAAATATTTTAACTCTGTAGACTTTAAACTTGACTTTCTAATTAATATTAACCACCTTCTAGTACTGCTAATAGCTTTACACAGTGTATGGTTTTTAAAATGAGTTGTTGTACATTTTCCCAACAAAACGATGTCTTAGATTTTACCAAAAGTATTCTGCAGGCAGTTTTCAAATCATACAACTTAAGCTAACCTACTGCATATCTGGAAGAGGTTAAGTGGCTGCCAACAAATACAAATACGGTTTTAATAAACATTGCCAAAATGTATAAAACTTGAAAGTGGAACAAACTTGAGAGCATACAGAGCAGAGATGTTAATAGCAAATATTTATATGTTTAATATTTAAATATTTAAACAAATGTGTTGACCACAAAACAAATTTATGTTTGCTCAAATTACATTATTCTTTGCATGATGTGCTCAGAACTTCCTATCATGCACTCAGGAAACTACACACTTATATAACTCCATAGAAATCAGAAAGACAACAGGTCTGAGCGATCCTAACCCTGCTCCTCTACAGGAAGTTGTTTCAACAAAGGTGACTTCCTCCTCTGCGGCTTGGAGGGCGGAGCCTGCTGTCCCACGTTAGCATAAGGGTTTTCTATGGGTCGTCCACGGCGGCGTGACAGCGGTGAGTGACCAGGGGCGGCGCTGGTGCTGTGGAGAGACAGCGTGGAGGTGTGTGTGGCAGTGTGAAGCGTGTGTGTAGCGGTGTGTGTGGCAGTGTGTGTGGCAGTGTGCAGCGTGTGCAAGGCGGCAGCATGTGCGTCAGGCTGCAGCTGTGGCGGCGTGTCCTGCAGGATGATCATCGACCTCGCCTTCCTCTGCCGCTCGGCGTGGGCGTGGCTCCTCGTTGGTGAATCGGAGAGCTCCTGGAGCCTCGGTTCCGCCCCCGGCTTGAAGCTGGAGCGGGTTAGCCCCTCCCCTCTGGCCGGGGGAGGAGGGGGGAGGAATGAGGGAGGAGGTCCAGAGTCGAGGAGGAAGAGCGGGGAGGAGGGAGGAGGGGGTGGAGCGGTCTGAGGAGGAGGCGGGATGAAGCTGTCTGTCAGGGAGGAGCTCCGTGGAAACCGACTTTCATTGATCAGAGCCGAGATCCTGTCGTCCTCAGGTGTGCCTGCCGTGGTAACCATGAAAATGTTAAAATAAAGGTACCCAGGAAAATACTTCAAACTATATAAATAAATAGTCATATAGGGTAAATAAATAAAATTAACTTAATATAAATAATACATGTGAAATTCACAATACAGTTTGTGTTCAGTTCAGTTTGGCTTGAAACTAAATTTAAATTCAAACTGGCAGTAAAACTAAATTTTATGGTTTAATTCAAAGACAGACATCAAAGAAATGACACAAGAATTATCTGTAAATTAACCCGGCTGCTATGTAAATAAATAAAATTTAATATCACTTATTATAAATTTTTGCAAAATCAGATTAATATAACTAATAAAACATTTAGTGACTTAGAATTGCAATATATATCAGAGGTCACACGCCTCTGGAGCAACTATTAAGTGTCTTGCTCAGGGACACATTAGTGTCTCACAGTGGACTTGAACCCAGGTCTCTCACACTAAAAGGATGTGTCTTATCCACTGCGGCATAACCCCCTGATGCATCAAAAATTATAAGATAATACATATTGTTCTGAAATGGGCCACTCTGTATAGTGAGTAGTTTTATTTTTGGTATTTGAAGTATATTTAACGCTAATACTTTTTGTAGTTTTAGTCTAGTAAGATTTTAAAGGCCTTTTACTTATAACAGAGTATTTCTACACAGCTGTATTAGAGTTCTCTGGCACAGTGCTGATTTAGATTCGAAAGTAATTATATGTGTAAACCATTGTTTTCACTGTGGCTCAGCTCAGTAATGCATGTGGCTGCGCTACTTTGAGTAAACGCTGCAATGAGTAGGTCAGTGGTTCTCAAAATTTCTGTGACACGCCCCCCTCCACAAGCCAAAAAAAAGCTTCATGCCCCCCCACCCTAGCAAAAGTGGATTTCATTTTTACAAATCAATAACAATACAGGCGATTTTAAATAAACCAGATTCAGGTTAGCAAAATAGCCTTGCTAGCATCAGAGCACTACATTTACAGCATTTACAACGCATTCTCATCTAAGTGCGTCAAAACTGACGCTTTCAGACAGTGTGGAAACTGTACTATTTCCGATGGTTGTGGTAAGGTTAAGGGGCTTTGGAGGGCTGTCAACACTTCCGGTCTGTACGAGACGCCCCAGAGCGTCTCAGACTCATCCGGAAGCGTCTCACACAGATGCTAAAGGATACCTGAAGATAACGTTATGTCACTTTTTATGAAAGTTTGTATTGGAAGCCCTGAGATGAGAACGGGCCACTGGAGTTGAGAACCACTGGAATAGGCGAATCGTATTTTCATATCATTGTCGCCATCTTTTGGACTAATTTGCTAATCGTTTAACAACAATAGGCCTTTATTACACCGGATAGGCCTGAGCTGTTTAGAGACCAACAGAGGAACGAGCGTTAAAGTTTGAAAGATATTCTTAATGGCTTTGAAAGCTGTGCTTGGACGTGGATACAATTACCAGACTACGGTTTCCTGACTGAGGAAAAACAAGTGGCGATATGCGCCACAGCCGTCTTACGGTTCAATCTGGCTTTTAGCCTACAGCTCACTAGGCTATGTTTTTAGCATATCACTGTCGCTACATCTTGCGTGATCAGTACTGGGCATGTGCAGCTCTCAACAGCGATGAGAAGAAAGCGAGATGGCTCACTTCCATCAGCTCCGGAAAAAACTGTGTGTTCAATTCAACATGTGAAAACATAACCCAGAGTCCTGTTGAAATAGCGTGGCTTAAATCGGCTTCACAATGGAAATAGTGAAAAAGTGCACTTGTTTGTTATTTGTATCAGTTGTATTAATAATGTTCCATTTTAATATTTTGTGAACCCCCTTTCCTCCGTTCTTTCTCCTGGCCTCCGGACACATTCCAGGTATTTCTACTTTTACTTAAACACAGTATTTACACACTTCTTCTACCACTGTCTACCGTAACATTTATGTATAGGAGTCATGTCTCACCAAAACTCTTGGTTCTGGACATTCCTCGGGGCAAAGCCATGGTGCTCTTCTCTGGAGGCGTGGGGGGCACGAGTCCCTGACGCTCAAACAACGACTGCACACAAACACACAAAAACACACATTTAGTCCAAAACCTACTAAGAGCCTGAACTTCACTCATTGTGAATTATTTTTCTAATACACACTGAAGATTAATAATGATGATATAGCGTACCGATGTGACGCCTCTTGATCTACAACAGTTGCGTCTCTGAGAGTCATTGACTTATGATGCGGGATGGACCGTGTTAACGACCTTTAAATACTTGTCTTACATTAATCTCGGCCTGTGTGATGCGTCGGCTGGTCGGCCTCTGTTTGACCGTCGCCGCTCTGAAGTCGTCTGACGGGCGGCCCCTTAGAACGACTTCCTGTTGACCCCCGGCCAACATCTCATCCAGTTTCTCTGGAGGGAGGAGACATGTAAAAACAACATAAACAAACAAATTAAATAATGAAATGCTGCAAAATTACATTGCAACATGACACCAAGTGTAAAAAAAACAAACAAAAAAAAAACATGGAAAAATCATGACGTCACTAAAACGAAAACTTAGAGCAACAGCACGACATCAGTTAGCAGAGCCGTAGCAATACTGAGGAGTTCTTTGACTGCTGATTGAAACTGACTAGGTGCTAAATCTGTAAATTTTATATTCCCCACCCACAGAAGACATTTTTGACACGACTCCAACCAAAAATTCAAAGCCTTCTCTACACAAACAAAACCCTTTTATTGTAATTTATGTAGGTTTTGTTTTTTGCCTAACAACCAAATCAAACCAGTCCAAGTTTAGGATAGTTAGTCCAACGAATCTCAAAATCAGCCTAAAGAAAACCCAACATTTATTAAACATTTGTTATATTGAGGAAAATTATATTGTTATTATAGAATTTAAACTCTTAAAACATTTAAACCCCCAAATTAACAGAAATATTAAGGACGTGTTCGTCTGCTACGGCCCTGCCTGTTACATCACTGCAACATCATGCCATGAGAGAACACATAAAACACAACAACAATGTCGGATCCATGTGACTCACCGATGCGTCTCCTCCTGGCTGCAGACAGAACAAAGGTTAACAACACACACTCCTACAGCTCGACTTAACTCTGCACTGTGTGTGTGTGTGTGTGTGTTTGTTTTACCGATCTCCTCCAGGTCAGCGGTCATGGACTTGGATCGGAGCGTCAACGAGGTGCTGGGGGCTCGTTTTGGAGGAGGTGGAGCTACAAGACAAGAACCAGGAGATCACAGGTGGAGCGTGAACAGAGAAACAAACACTTTATTAGTTACTGGTAAATATTCATTAGTACATATTTATTAGTTACTGGTAAATATTCATTAGATAATAGTATTTATTTATTAGTTACTAGTAGTGCTGGGCAACAATTTAAATTTTTAATCGAATTGTTATGCGCAAAATTGAAGAATGAATTTTAAAGTAGTTTATTGCGCATTTTTTATTTAAATGTACTGCTATATACACAAGTGTAATAACATGTGGTTTGCAAACACTTTAAACAAACAAGGTGCTTTTTACCAGCAGTATTACCTTTTACACAGTAGCAATAAAGTATTTCTCGTAAATCTCAACTTAAACATTAATGTAATCAAATATTAAACCACTGCCAGGGAATTACCGTTTATCTAGCTTGTTAAAACAAGTTAGAGTCCAGAGCCACGATCAGAACATCATAACAGGCTCCTTCTGAGCAACAGGTTTCCATTTTACTAGTAACAATTGATATTTGCTTCGTAACGTTCAACTTAGATTTATTGTCGATACTCAGGTACACAGCTTGTCCACCGTGTCAGTCGCTGTAACTTACGTGACCCACATAATGTAGAGTAATGCAACAAAACGATGCAGGACAACAACACAAAAGACCGGACAGTAATGTTACTTACTGCGGTCTAACTGTTTTAGAAAACTACACGTGGGACATGTTAAAAATTTAATTTAATTAGAAACAAATCAGCGGGTTAATTGATAATCTATTAATCAAGTATGTTAAATGTCAGATAATAGTGAAAAGTCCAAGGTGACGTCTTCAAATGTCTCGTTTTGAGTCCAAAACTCATAAAACAGAGAAAAGAAGCAAAGAAAATGTTTTCCACAATTTTTGCTTGAAAAAAACACTGAAATGATTAGAATCTCACAATAGTGGATTTTTCTGTCAATCAACAAATCAGCTAATTGTTTCGCTCTAATTATTATATTGTATTTATATTATTATTATTATTATTATCATTTTAAAATATTTTTGGGGGCTTTTTCAGCCTTTATTCAGGACTGGACAGTTCAGATAGACAGGACATGTTGTTGAGAGAAAGAGAGGATGACATGTGACAAAGGCTTTAGGGGCAGTGGAGGCCCAAAGGTTAGAGAAGCGAGCTTGTGACCGGGAGGTCGCCGGTTCAATCCTGGCAGGACGAAATCTGGGTGTGGAAAGTAAAACCAAAACCACCACTGAGGAGCCCTTGAGCTCAAGTGGAGCTCAAGGGCCTAAACAACTCAAACCCGCATTTGTACATGGGGGCGTGCGCTGTAGCAGGTATTTATATTATTTTTATATAAACATTACAGAATTAATATAGAAATGTGAAATTGACTAAATCCTGTCCCTAATGGGTGAAACTTCAAACTGACCTGTGATACACAACTTGAATGTAAAACTACACTTTCTGATTTAATTACAGGAATCAAAATAAAATAAATGAAACAAGAATTGTTCCTAATAAATAAAACCGGCGGAGGCTGTACCTTTCTTCCTGACCAGGTTGGATTCGGATTTCCTGGACACGGATACGACCTTCATCAGCAGTCGACTTCCTCCCTGTCGGATCAGAGAGACGACCTGCCGGTGACCCACCTTCACCACGTCAGCGCCGTTCACCTGGACGGACAGACGGGTAGATGAAGGTATGTTGCAGAGCTTTCTGTAGCCACACGTTAGAAGACAGCTGTTACCTCTATTAGGAAGTCTCCAGTCCGTAGCCCCGCCCTCCAGGCCACGCCCCCTTGGTCGACGGACTCCAGGTACTGCAGTGCGGGGAACGCCGGCGTGGGGGCAAACTCCTCGATGGGGGTCTCAGCTTCATTCATGACAGGGAGGAGGAAAATATATTTGAACTGAACATGTTTTTATTTGCTGTTCAAATTCATAATTGAAGAAATTAAGGATTAAACTTTAAAGGCCCTGCACACCTACACAGGTGAAACTACCACAAACAGTTGTGAGATGTAAAGAGATAACTGAGCAGAAACATTCACTTATCATTTTGTGTCATGCACGTAAACATCATATCCTGTTTTCAGAAACCGGGATAAACCCGTATATTTCCCTGAAACCAGGAGCGAGTTCAAACTCAAAGCGTTTTCCACCGGTTCGCTACAGTTTTTGGGTTGAACGGCGAGGCAAGTTTTCTCTCGTTTGGCGGGTGTGTCAGAGGTGTCATCCAATCGGCAGCGACGTGTATAACGCTGCCGTATTGAAAAAGGAAGCGAAGTACAGTGCGCTTGCGAACACAACAGGGTGTTCAACACACCGTTTCGTTGGAGCTGAACTCGGCCCAGGATGCTGTTCTTTCCGACTAACTTTCAAATTGGTTCAGTTGAAGTGAATAGATTATTTTAATGAATAAGAGACAGCAGCAAAGGTCCTTGCCTGTTTAAGACCTGGTGGCCTGATTGTTAAAGAAACAGTTACATTATTCAGGAAAGTCGGATCAAACAGCTGATCAGTCTGTTATCTATTGATAAACTGTAGGAAAAAGTTCAAGACACTTCAGCTCTGAGAGCGAGCCGCGACAGTTTCAGCCGTCTGAAAACGCCTTTACATATAAACCCCGTCACAACCAATGACGGGGAAATTAATTTATAACGTGTCAAAACCTTTAACATGAGGACGACCCCCCACCCCCACACACACGCACAAAGTAGCCTCTCCCGACTTTTAAATAATATCATTTCCATAACAGCAGCAAGGAGCGTGGTTTTTACTAAACATATAGGCCTAAATTTTCTCAACACCACTGGCTGAGATAAAAAAAGAAAGCAAGCTTAATCGCGGCTTGTGAACTAGGCTACTGTTTTTCTGCACATGTATTTAGGCTATAAGAGCAATATTCAGTGATATATATATATATATTTTTTTAAACGTTGTTTATCCTATCACCTGTCAAATGACATCTGCACAGCTGTGTTCACTGTTGTACCAGATAACATATTTCTCCATGTTTCTCTGCAAAATGCTAAAATGGGTCACCAAATAAATGTGGAAAACACTGCAGCTGCACACATGCGATTAGAAACCTGGACACTGTTAGAATCATGTAAACGGCAAGACTAGGAACCCGGGGCCTTCACTACGAAGCAAGTTCAGCATACCGAGGATATCTTTTTGTTATTTACGTTGGCATCGTTAGAAACTGACATGTCAGATTATGTGGGGGAGTCCCGTGGTCTATGTTGGGAAACAACGAGCAGCTAAATACTAGCAGAAGCAGTTCATAAATCTTGATTCCCTGGTTAACTCCTACTAAAATTCCCCTTCAGGGACAGAAAGCCTGTAGCTAGTTTCTACACGGGCCTGGTGTAAAGGCTTTTAAAGGATGAGGCTCAGTGGATTCTGTAGTTCTTATGAAACAACACAGCGAGGAGTTTTAAAGCTCACTGCTCTTCCCCTGAAGACTTCTGTTTTAAATATCTTTCTTTTTTCATTCCCAACACCTCCAAAACACCCACCACTCCTCCATCCATCCATCCATCCTTTCTACCTTTAGCTCCTCTGAGGACGAAGCCGAATCCCTCGCTCTCTCTCTTCTGCAGCACGGCCGTCTTCTCCTCGATCACATAGTCACTGACACACAGAAAACATACATTTACCACAACAAGTTCAGTTTTTTCCTAGTATTTTAAATGTCCTTTAAGAGGCTTGTTATCACCAACACCTGGAGATACTCTAACCTGTACAGTAACTAAAGCTGTCAGACACATGTAGTGCAGCAAAAACTACAGTATTTGCCTCTGAGATGTAGCGGAGTAGTAGAAGTATAAAGTATGTACTATGTCACAATCCACCACTGACTACTACGCCTTAAATCCAGACTGCATTATTGCTTCGTGAAGAGGTTAAATTATCAACATCACTGTCAAAAGAAATACTCCTCTTTAGAATGGCATTACTATAAAGTACTTCAATACCCTGGTTACTCTGTCCCAATATTGTAGTTTTTAAGGATTGTATCCACTTCCACATCAACTCTACCTGTACTCATTGTTAATATTAGTATTTAATTCACTACTGCCATTTAATATGACACTTTTGTTAATACTGTACATATCTACACTCCTTTATATTTAGATTTGTAATCTATATTTTCTATTATTGTTTCTATTCCTTAATATCTTGTGACTCAACGTAAGCAACTCACCTTCCACTCAGGGATCAATAAAGTATTTCTGATAAAGTGTACATATATATGTTATATATATATATGTGAGTGGGTATAGGCAGATTCCTTGTTTTGTTTCCCTGCAGCGTTTCAGCTCTTCTGCTGTTCAATTGAATCTGTTTTTATGTTAATCTGAGCTTAATTTATTCAGTTTTCTTGTCAAGTGTACAAATTCTTCCTAAATGTCTACAGTCTATCCTCTACATCAGGGGCCTCCCCTCAGACAAAGCTTGTGAAACGGCACCCCCCCCCACCACATCTTTAGTTTACCTGGTAAGTTTCGCTCAATTCCTGGATGCCTATGGGATCATGATTATATTATTTGATCCCATAGACACTCAACATTTGAGCCAAGATAGCCTAATATTGCTGTTTGACATAACTTCTACAAAAGGAATGTCCTAAGGCATTTATTAGTTTCTGATTCTGATGGGGGGGGGGAGTTCCCCAAAACTTCTGCATCTCTGAACTTTCACACATGTAGGCTCTTCAATGTGATCTCCTTTTGATAACTAATGCAATATTATTTCACCTCCATTCACTGAGCCTCCCCTGAAACTGTTTGGAGCCCCCCTGGGGAGGCCTGCCTCACACTTTGAAAACCCCTTCTCTACATCTAAGACGATCCCTCCTCTGTTGCTCTTCCTGAGGTTTCTACTTTTATTTTTTTAGCAATAAAAGAGAGTTTTGGAGGATTTTTGGGTCTAAGAATAGAGATGTGGTTGGCTGTACAGATTGTAAATCCCGTCGAGGCAAATTTGTGATATTGGCTGACTTGAATTCTTTTTATTTCTTTGTAAAGTACTTTGTTTATACAGTATGTTTTTTAAATGTGCTTAATAAAAAGTTAATCATTATTATTCATAGTTACTAATCTTTTCAGTTGTTATACCTGATGACTTCATTTATATGTTAAAACAACAAACTTTTTAGTATGTATACTGTATCTCTGTACATGATGCAGTTAAATACAATATTTATTAAATGTGGTGATAATTGTGTTTAATAAATGGCATAAATAAGCCAATATATAAGGTTTTGTTCATTAAAACATTTATCCTGTTTTACCTATATGTGGTGTAGTATTTTCTGGTACTTTCCTAAATGACTTATTGGCAACATCAACAAGAAAAACATTTTTTAATTATTCATTTTACTAAATATGATGCCCTATGTGGTGTAAAAAAAGCACGCGTAAAAATCATCCTCTGATGTTTTTATATGCATCTGGATGTACCGTAATGTTTTTATTTCACTATGTAAAGTTACTTTATATGTTTGTACTGTGTTATTTAAACCAAGTAACTAACTGGGAGTGTGCAGTATCAGTGCATTACCTGTAGGAGGTGTAATGATGGTGTATTACCTGTAGGAGGTGTAGTTGTCATAGGATCCTACAGTATAATGTCTGAACAGTCTCTTGGTGCGGTCCTCCCTCGTCTCTGAAACGCACACGGATATATATCATATAGAATTGTAGTCTTTCAATAAAGTATACGGTTTACACCATCTTACACAGATATGTCACGTACTAAATATTAAACCCAGAATTGAATATCTATATATGCAAGTAGTACTTATACAATATAGGCATTTATTTCTAAAGGATGCAGTTATTTACCCAGTCTTGGGTCATACTGTCTCATCTGGACTTCTTCAACACAGTCAGCAGGAAACCAACCAGTTCTTCCTTTCACACTTCCTTCCCAGAATCCTCCTTCACCTATAGACAGAACTGCAGATCCACAACACAGAGTCAGTAGAACCGCCGATGTACCACCGGCTGCACTACAGATGGACATCTGTCTGACCTTTCACCCTCTCTCCTCGGTGCAGCTGGATCTCTCCAGGCCCCTGGGGGACGTGGGACCGGGTGGCGATGAAGGTGCGTCCTGGTACAGCACTGTACAGCCTCCTCTTCCTCATCTGGGGGGTTGGGGGAGGGGACGAGGGGGGGCTGGTCTCTGCATGACCTCCACCACTCGGACTGCAGGCAGACAGGTGAGAGAGAGACAGGTTCAGCTTTAAAATTCTGTCTGTTTGCCTACAACCGGAACTGGTGTAGTCTGCGTCAGTACTGGTGTGGTCGACAGCAGTACTTGTGTGGTACTACTCCAAAAGTGATGCTGCTGACTACAATTAATATCAATAGTCACGTTTGGTGTAGTAGCAGCACACCAGTACTGAATCCAACTGCACCACTACTGATGCTGACTACACCTGTTCTGATTCCGACTACACCAGTCCTGATGCAACCTCACCAGTACTGATGCCAACTATAACCGATGTCCTCTAAAGCAGTACTGGGAAAGTCTGTGTCAGTACTTGTGTGGTACTACTCCAAAAGTGATGCTGCTGACTACAGTTAATATCAATAGTTAAGTTTGGTGTAGTAGAAGCAGACCAGTACTGATGCTGACTACACCTGTTCTGATAACAACAACACCAGCACTGAATCCAGCTACACAAGTACTGAATCCAACCTCACCAGCACTGATGCAAACTCATCAGAACTGGATCC